CTAATGCATGCTACTAAGCTGGAGGAATGCAAGCCAAATAAGAATATTTATTAAGAAACAAAACATATTGCAAGGAGCTGTCTTTGGAAAGGCCTCTGGAATCTGGCCTCGGCCCTGTTTATTCAAAATTTTTATCAGTTAACTTGGACAACGACCAAGTCAAAAGAACATTTATCAAGTTTACAAGCTGGGTGGGTTCACTAATGTAGTCCAAAATATAAACAATATGAATCTCAAAATAATGGCACAATGGGCTGAAGTTAGTATGACCTAGAATATTTGGTTTTCAAAGATCAACATGCCACTATGTTATGGTACTTGGGCCATCAAGATTTTAACTGACACCCACATTGTCCCCTACTCCATTCCAACTTTGGAACCTAATATAACCTATTAGTTAGCAGTGTTAAAAATGTCTGTTTATAAGGGGTTCAGTAGCAAACATACATCTGGCCCAAGCCGGCTTAAGAACATTTCAAAAGCAGCATAGAATTACTCAAGAAAAGTCCTAAATAGGTCTAGTAGATCTAGCCAATGTCACTTCTTCCCAGCATTTATAAAAATCACTACTGTTAATTGAAAATATACCATGTGCAGGTACCGTGCTAAGTGCTTTACATAAACAAAATAAATATCAGCAATTTTTGAATCCATGCCCACACAAATCCCATCCAGATGGTTCCAGGGATCCAAGATAGGTGATCATGAATCAGCCTGGGCTGCCATATGTCCCTTCTGGGTGGTCACCCCCAAGCCACACCACTGCCACCACCACAGCCACCAAGGAGATGATCCGTGCCAATTTATCCCACTTGTCACTGCTGCTGGGACTCCCAAGCCCACCGGAGTTCACCTGTCTCTTGCAAGGCAACAGGCAGAAAACGTTTTCCTTCCATGTTATGCTCAGCGCTGAAAGGAGAATCCCGCTGCAGCTGCTTGGACCCCAGAGTGACCCCATTTGGCAAGACCCACCGTTGGCATCCATACAGCCTTTTTTCTCTCCAGTCCACACCCAATTCAAGAGTAGCTGAGCTGGACTGGGTTGTGCTACCAGTCACCAGCACCCTACCCAGAACCGCTATTTCCCACAAGCCCTGGAGGTTGCTGATTCTGGAGTTCTTATTGCTCCTGGTAAATTCTCTCTCTAGGGTCCATTTCTTGAAACCTTTATTTTTGCTCCACTTCAATGCATTCTGGCTTATAGAAAAGCCTATAAACAACTGTCCCCTAATTCCAGACATGGTTCAAGTTTTTCCTGCCCCTCCCCCCACGCATACCTTCCAGGATCTCCAACTCCCATGTAAATGAGAGTCTTCATGTAAGTACCAAGAAGAACCATGTGGGTTTGACTCCAGCCACCAGGCTTCAGTGAGTGGCAGCTCACTGAAATTCACTCAGTTTCACTCACTGAAATTGAGTGAAAGCCTGTATAGGGAAATTCAGCCGTGATTTTCCCTATACAGGCTTTATTTTATTTTTCCTTAAAACAACGCCATGATCGGTAGATAGTCTAACAGTCAGCCTTTGAGTAAGTGAACTGAGGTGCAGAGAAGTGTGATTAATTTGCCCAAGATTGCATTGCTGAAACACTGAATTTGTACCTGATTCCTTAGTGTGTGGTGCTCTAGACTTGGGTTCTGAGCAGATTTTCTTTTACATGTATCAAACGCTAAAAGGGGGATCAGAACCTGTCCTCTTATTATCCATTTTTGAATTCTTATATTAACTGGATATGTCGACAACTGCTAAAAGAAGGCTACACTTGTAGGCCAGTGTGCAAATGTACAAAAATAGTTCAAAATTATTTAGAATGGCTCTTGGACACAATCTGAGAAGCATTTAATCATTTACATAGTGCATTTATCTCCTGTTTTCATTCTGCTCCAATTCTCCTGGTGACATCAAGAATCTCTTCTTGGCCGGGCGTGGTGGCTGGTGCCTGTAATCCCAGCACTTTGAGAGGCCGAGTTGGGCAGATCACAAGGTCAGCAGATCAAGACCATCCTGGCTAACACAGGGAAACCCCGTTTCCACAAATTTAATATAAAAAATTAGCCGGGTGTTGTGGCAGGTGCCTGTAGTCCCAGCTACTCGGGAGGCTGAGGCAGGAGAATGGTGTGAACCTGGGAGGCAAGGCTTGCAGTGAGCCAAGATTGTGCCATTGTACTCCAGCCTGGGTGACAGAGCAAGACTCCATCTCAAAAAAAAAAAAAAAAAAAAAAAAAGAAGTCTCTTCTTGATATTCACAGGCATTTATTACTGTACAAACACCTGCTGATCTCTTTTTTAAAGAAAGACTTAAAAACAATTAGAACTTAATGCGTGTTTTTTATTTATTGTACTTTTTAATACGTACTACTACTTACAGCAAGGATGTTGATATGACATTTACTCTAATGATAAGGCATTTCTTTTAAAATATATTTAACTTTAAAAAGGAAAATACATTTATGTAAAAAATATTAAGTAAAAATATATTTAAGTAAAAAGAGGATCAGTTTAAAGAAAAACATCAACTAAATAGAGGTGGTACATGGTCAGGTCAAGAATTATAACATGGTATGAAAATCATTGAAGTCTGAGAGATGCTCAACTGGATTAGTTCCCAAAATTAGTGCTTTACCAAATAGCCTGACTTTAAAAATATAAAATAGCAATTCCTTTTGAAACAGACAATATTTATAATGCCAGATTTAAAACATCAGAAAGATGTGGAGGTCTGAAACCATAATGAAGATTTTAAAAATCTGTTCAGAAGCAGCCACTTATATTCCTCACTATCACCTACATTGGTAATGGAATCTATACCAAGTTCCCAGTTGCTTCTGAAATATAGTGAGCAATGAACAGCCAGAAACTTTCTAGACACGGGCAATCAAAGATAAAAACTAGTCTTGTTGCAATAAACTGGGACAGGAAAAAGGGTATGAAAACCTAGAAGTACTGTTCTTAAATAATGGAAGAGTTTTCTCGGTCTAATATAAACAGTATAATGATTCCTGAAATTTTTGTGGGCTGACCTTAGGTCTGGCTTTAAAGATACCATTTGGTTCATTACCTGTTCATAGTATTAACTAGTGTCTGACTAACCTCAGAGAAAAGGGGTGCAGTTTCAAGAAAGTATCTGATTTGGTTTGACTGTGTCCCCACCCAAATCTCATCTCAAATTGTGATCCCCATAATCCCCAGGTGTCAAAGGAGGGACCTGATAGGAGGTGATTGGATCATGGGGGGAGCTTCCCCCATGCTGTTCTCTTGATAGCGAGTGAATTTTCATAAGATCTGGTGGCTTAATAAGGGGCTCTTCTCCCTTCACTCTCTCTTGCCTGCCACCATGTAAGATGTGCCTGTTTCCCCTTCCACCATGATTGTAAGTTTCCTGAGGCCTCCCCAGCTATGTGGAACTGTGAATCCATTAAACCTCTTTCCTTTATAAATTACCCAGTCTCAGGTAGTATCTTTATAGCAGTGTAAAAACAGATTAATACAGTAACACTACTGCTAATTTCTTCTGAACACACTGCAATTTCCTGATAATCAGAAGCTTCCAGAAATTCAACAATCTCTTTTAGGAACGTTTTTGTGCCCAGAGAAACTTCACTATGGGAAGAAGATAACTAGAAATAAATTATGCAATCTGAAGATCTCATCTAGAGAGACAATAAGTCTGTATGTGAAGAAAGAAGTTCACACAATTGCCAAAAAAATGTGTTTCTGACCCTTGAAGTCATCATAGCAGGGGAAAATTTGGTTTTTAGATGTAAAATAAATGCATTAGAAACATTTCTACCACTTTCTAGTTCTAGTTTAACTGGAACAACTGGCTTCACCTCTCTGAACCTCTATTTCTCACTCTGTAAGTGATCACAATACTTACCATTTTGGGGTGCTTTGAGTGAGATAATATATAATGCAAGATGCCTAGTGCAGAAGATATATTTGTAAATATCACTTCCTGTCTTCCCCTCCCCTGGATGTCTTAAAGAAAAAAAATAGGACTTAGTAACAAAATGGATATAGACAGAGTTCTTAACTTGTAATCCAAGAGGAGAGACACAGAAGGTCTATGAATCCTGAAATTATTTGCAAAGTATATTGTTTATGTGCATTTCTCTGGGAGGAGAGTCCAGATCTATGAAATGAGTCTCAAAGTGGTCTGTAACATCCACACCCGTCCGTCCAGAAGTTTAAGAACCACCAAAAGAAAGATGCAAAAATGAACTCCAAAGTTGGCTGATAGAATAATTGTGACTTTGAAGTTTGACAGAATCGGGATAACTCCTATCCTACTTTGGGCAGGACTGCATATGCCAGAATTACTCCAGGGAGTAAAATGGTATTTGAATGTAGATATGTAGGACTGCAGCAATCTAGCCTTCCACAGACATGTTTTAGTCAAATTGAACTTTGATTTGATGAACTTGGTCTAGACTGAGGCCTGATGAAAGCAGCGGCCCCTGCTGCTGGCCCCTGTCTATGGTCAGGATAGGGCTTAGACCTTGCCTATAGTATTATAAAGCCTGCTTGCTCAAAAGGACCACTGAATGAGTTTCTTTGGACTTATTACCAGAATTTTCCTGAGCAGCTTCTTTGTTTTTACCTAACAGTGACTCTGTATTGAATGATTAATTGCATTTCTCTCTTTTCATCAGCTAGTAGAAAATATAAAGACAAGTATGTTGCTTAACTACAGCAGTTAGCATTTTCTGTGACAACACTTCTGCTTGCTCCATTTGTATCATGGCTGCATCCGTGTTTTAATTTTCTCTTGGTTGCATTTTAAAATACATAACTATATATATACATATATATATACACATATATACTGTTTTCATTTTTGTAAGTCTCCTTCAAGTCCTTTTTAGAATGAGGTGTACATAGGCAATTCAGCGTCCCCAAATGCACCACAAGACTGTGAGCCCAACTAACCCTTTGCTTTTATGTAACAATTTTGTTTTTATAACCTTTTAACTCTCACTTTTGTTTTTATCTTCCTTTAGTCAGTTAAAGAGGACTCAGTCCCCACAGGTGCAGAGGAGAATGTAAGTTACACATTGCACGGCAGAATCATTCCATTCTCATCTTCCGCCATGTTGGACAATGGGGCATTTTCAGCTCTGGGATCCTGTGTTCTTGCATGCTGCCAGTGTGATTTGTTTGTTGTAGACTCTTTCACCCCATATGTGATTAGGGACGCATGGAGGATAACATTGGATGAATTTTTGTAACTCTCATTGAATCAGTGCAAAATAAATGCAAAATCAGGGCACGAATTTTTAGAATTGTTATCAGTAGGGGCTGAAAGAGTCTACTACACGTAAGAACAGCTTTGTGCCTCCTTGAGGGATAATGATGCTCCGCCTGCTGCTTCATTCCACCTTGACTGCTCGTTCACTCTTATTTCCATGGTAATCCAGTTTCTTACTAATTCTGGGCGGTACCCAGGACAGGGAGTTGCATCAGGCATGAGAATATCTTGCAGCAATAGACGCTGAGAATGTCAGTCTCAGGTTAAGACAGCTGACTCCACAGGTCTACCTCTGAGATAGAGACATTGAGCCTCACTGTTTTCCTGGCTTTTAATCTTCTAGAGGAATCGTCAGAATTTTCAAGACAGTACATTCATCCCTGAAAGGGATAGTGCTATATAAAGCACCACCAAAACATAGCTTCCAGGGAGATTAATAAAATGACCTCGTGAATTTCAGACCCAAAACAACAGCTGTCTGCTCTGAAAGAAGTACAGTCTTTGGGAAATTTTTATAAGTAGGGATAAGTGAATTCACAGCTCCTTAAGATAGAAACCGGACATTATTGTTTTGCCAAAGCAAAACTGTTCTGGGTGTCCCTTATTCACTTGCCATAAATAGGGAGTGTGTTTTTATTTTTATTTAGTTATGGGAACTGAACAGATGTTGAACATCCAAACACGTTCCTGAAATGTTGTCTGTGACGTGGAATAAAAATTAGAATGGCTATGTTATGATTTTTGTTGGAAGAAAAATCTTGAAATTGTGTCCAGAGTGGGTTCCTTCCAGTGGGTTCTTGGTCTCGCTGACTTCAAGAAAGAAGCCGCAGACCTTCACAGTGAGTGTTACAGCTCTTAAAGGTGGCACAGACCCAAAGAGTGAGCAGCAGCAAGATTTATTTTGAAGAGCGAAAGAACAAAGCTTCCACAGCATGGAAGGGGACCCAAGTGGGTTGTTGCTACTGGCTGGGGTGGCCAGCTTTTACTCCCTTATTTGACCCCACCCACATCCTGCTGATTGGTCCATTTTATAGACCACTGATTGGTCCATTTTACAGAGTGCTGACTGGTGCGTTTACAAACCTTTAGCTAGACACAGAACACTGATTGGTGCATTTTTACAGAGTGCTGATTAGTGCATTTACAATCCTTTAGCTAGACACAGAGCACTGATTGGTGCATTTTTACAGAGTGCTGATTAGTGCATTTACAATCCTTTTGCTAGACAAAGTGCTGATTGGTGCATTTACAATCCATTAGCTAGAAACAGAGCGCTGATTGGTGCATTTTTACAGAGTGCTGATTGATGCGTTTACAATCCCCTAGCAAGACAGAAAAGTTCTCCAAGTCCCCACTCAACCCGGAAAGTCCAGCTGGCTTCACCTCTCAAAATCTGTTTGTTGGTTTTGCTGCCCTTCCTTCCTTCCTTCTTTTCTTTCTTGAGCCAATCTTAGTAGCTCAGCAAAGCTAAGGTCTCTCATCATTCCAGAAAGTTCTCATGAATTACTATTTTATAGAAAGTCGAAGTTTTTATTCCAGCAACCCACAAGAGGGAACTCCACAAGACTTCTTCCCACGAACTTTAAGTTTAAAAGCTGCCCGTAAAATCTGTCGCATCTGTTAGCTTTGAGGTTCTGACTTTTCTAAAGAAAACCTTTTTGGATATTTGTGTGCAGTTGCTTGTTTAGGGAACCCTGTGTTTCCCGCAGCTCAGATGCTAAAATGCAGAGCTAATCTCTAACAGGCAAACAGAAGATATTCCATTTTCTAGTGTGAAATTTTAAATAGAAATATAAACAGGAATTAAAAGTTAAATTATTGACACCAAACAATAACACAAAAACTGATGATAAAGACATAAAATAAGGCAAAATATTTGTTAAATAAAATAAAGAAGCATTATAAAAATTGCCTTAAATGACTTAACACTACAAGTGACATTTTGATTTTTAAGGCTCAATATTTCATCCTCTTTTTTTTTGTTTGTGTGTTTGTTTGTTTTCTTGAGACAGAATTTTGCTCTTTTCACCCAGGCTGGAATGCAGTGGTGCAATCTCAGCTCACTGCAACCTCTGGCCCCCCAGGTTTGAGTGATTCTCCTGCCTCAGCCTCCCAAGTAGCTGGGATTACAGGCAGGTGCCACCACACCTGGCTAATTTTTGTATTTTTAGTAGACACAGGGTTTCACCATCTTGGCCAGGCTGGTCTCAAACTCCTGATCTCAAGTGATCCGCCCACCTTGGCCTCCCAAAGTGCTGGGATTACAGGCGTGAGCCACCGCTCCCAGCATCAGTATTTCAATTTTTGACAGCCTATCACTTGGAGGGAATGAGGCTGATGGTTGTGACGTTGATCCCATTATCTTTAGGCCATACCACCTCATAAGCCTCAGTTTACTCGTCTGTTAAATGGCGATAATAATATCACCTACACTTTAGGGTTCTTGTGAAAATTAAATGAGATAATATCTATAACGTGCTTACCTCAGTGCCTGAAATGTAGGAGGAACTCAATAATTTTAGGGATCAGCAAACTATAGCTCATGGGCCAAATACAGCCCACAAGATAAAAATGATGTTTACATTCTAGAATGGTTGATAAAAATTAAAAGAAGAATATTTTATGATGTGAATTCAAAGTTCAAATTCAGTGTCCAGAAATAAAGTTTTATTAGAACACAGTTATGCTCATTCCTTTACATATCATCTATGGCTGCTTCACTGCTAGGTAGCAGAGTTGAGTAGTTTCAACAGAGACACTGATTGGCAGGGCCTTTGCAGGAAAAGTTTGCCACCTTCTGCAGTAATTGTTAGCAAATTAGCAAACAGGAGACAACATAGTAAGTGAGCATGTCCCAGTAATCAGTGATTTTATTTCCTAGTGAAATTATACAGCTCACAGCTGACTCCGTGTCCATGTAGATTGAAGGAATATGTAAAACAGAGTTAGATTTAATTTCCACCTCCCAAATAAGAGAGAAGGCATTAGTCAAAACAGTGTATTGTACTCTACACCTTCACAACAGGACAATTGGATGTGATTAACTATATTACAAGAGTGCTTTAAATAGCAACTTCTGGCTAAAATGTGGTTGAATTTATTCTTTAAAATTTCTCCCACCTACAACTTTCTGGAACTAATCTATCAACTGATGCAAGGCCCACTTGTATTTAAAAAAAAAAAAAAGACAGAGTGATGTCAACATTTCTCAAAGTTTTTCACAGAAAGAAAAATAAGGATTTTGAAGCCTATGGAAGTTTAGTGTTTTTCCTAGAATGTGCTTCTGGTCCTATCAGAAATAAATCTTTTTTAACTCTTGAAATGATAGAATCTATCAGTTGTAGTAAAAAAAGAAAAATGTTTTGCTCATTGGTTAATTGAGTTAATGTTCTAATGAAAAAAAAAAAATTCTTTCCTTCCAATAACCTGCAAGACCATGGAAACAGGCATTTCTGTTGCTTATCCCTCTTAATAAGTAACCTCTCAGTTGCAAGTGAAAGAAAACCCAATTCAACCTGGATTAGAAAGAAAATGGCATTTACTGGCTCTCATCACTAGAAAGTTAAACTGGTTTCAAATAAAGTTTAATTCAGGGCTCTCCCTGGGTTCAGCCTTCTTGGCCTGGCTACATTTTCAGCTTTCCAACATCACATCACTCAGTCCAAAGTAAATGAGCTATTATCAAGTAGCAACCCTACATGTCCTGGAAATTTGTTCTGTTTCACTGACTGAAATGCATTCACACGCTGTATTTGTCAGCTTTTGCCAGGTTATGTTGCAGTAACAACCAAGTCCCAATTTTCAGTGCTTTCCAATAGCAAAGAAGTTTTTTTTTTTTTCCTTTTCTCACTCATGCTACAAGCCAGCTAGCAGTTGGCTTTGGCTAACCCAGTTGGCTTCTTAATGCTGAGGTCAGTAGGGAATCAACAGTCCCTTCAAAAAGGAGATGCAGTTCTTGTTGCAGAGAGAAAATAGTGGCATGGGTGAATCATGCAATGGACCCTAAAGCTTCTGCTCAGGCATGGTATATGTCATATCTACCCATGTTCCATTCACTAAAGCAAGTCACACATCAATGGACACAGGTGTGTAATTCATTTACAGGAAGGTAGGGTAAATAATTAGAGAAATAATACAATTTGCCGCGTGCTGTCATTTCTAAACCAACACAGTCAAGGAGCTCGATCATGTTGATTGGTTTAGACCTTTTCAATTGGCTTCATTCAAACTACATAGTCTTGAAGTTAGAAAAGATTCCTCTCCCAAGGCAAAATTACAATGTGTAAGCAGATGAGAGAGAATAGTTACTGAGTAGAAAAAAAATCTGTAGGAGGTCTTTGTAATCAATCACATTAAAAATCCAATCAAAATAATCTTTAAAATATTCTAAAATAAAAACCTTTAATGTTAATATGATGTTGTGCATGAAGTTTAGATGGAGGAAATCTATTTTGCCATGAATCAGTTTCCAAAAGCCACAGCTCTAGTAAAAACTGTATAACCAAATTTCAAGGGTAAGTGTAGTATAAAATTTGAGGCAGAAAGGGAGATTCTTCACTGAAATGTATATTGTCAGTATTAGATGTACCAGCCATCTTCATGCTGTCTACCATATCCTCTACAGAAATCAAGCAGGGGGGACTGAATTCTAAAATGTAGCACACATCTGACTTTAATTATGTCCATTCATGATTTCCAAAATTAAAATGTGCAGATGCAGTCATATATTCTAAAGAGGAAACAACTTTTTCCAAAGCCCTGGCCTGGGAGAAATTTGGAAAATTATCCAAATAAAAATTGAATTCTTATGTCTGTATATGCAAATCAGATCTTTACTTAGCCAAGATTGTTCTGGATTTCCACACTGGATGTCAGTGGATTTTCCTTGGCTACTAAAAGCCAACTTCTTGGCCTGACTTCAAAGGTAGTGGAAGTCTCCAGAAGTACTATATTTTTTTACCTGCTGAAATAGTTGTGTTCTGGAGAATGGACTTGTGGCCTAGGATTTATGGGTTGATACGGCTCAACATTTGCAAAGGCTCAGCAAGGGAACCACTGGCATCTAAATAGAATTGATTTACAGCGTTATTGCCATACAATCTGATCATTTTATTTATGAGTAATTTTTCCTCCAGGTCTTTGCACACAAAGAAAGAACTCATTGCCTCAAAGACAGAATGCTTCTGAACCCAAACTCCATTCCTTATCTACTTAAGAGCTATTTTCTATTTCTCCACTCTTCTACCTTAGTTTTAGGCAAAGTTGCCAACTTTATATCCCCAAAGTATTTGATCATGATTAGTCTAAGTTACTGATGTCATTTCTTTCACTAATAAGTGGCGTGGGGGTAAGTGGCTTCGCTCTGACCTGTGAAATTTAGGTACCCTGAGGTAGGAGATCAAAATGCAGATGTTTATTTTTTGTAAGTCTTTGGCTGTGACCTTCCTTCCTTCTCAGAACATTGGATTGAGGATATGATATCTGGAATTGTGGTAGCTATGTTATAACCACAAGGTAACAAATAAAATGATGAAAATCTAGCATGCCAAGAATAGTGGAGCCAAGAACAGAAAGAGTCAAAGTTCTTAGAGATATTGTGGAGCTACCGAAGCAACCCCAGAACTTCTTGTTCCATGTTTTCATTGGTTAAGCCACTATTAGATACGTTCAGTTGCCACAGAAAATGCCATCCTCATTGTAATGCCTATTTATCTGTGGTGAGACTTTGGCCAAGTCATTCAATTATTTGCTCTTTATCTGTAGAATAGGGATAATGTTATATTTCCTAAGCTGTCAAACTACTTCTTGATGCCATTTATAAAAGAATATTAAACACCCTGTACAACACCAGGCATAGTAAGAAGTAGCTATAAATATATCATCTCTAAATAATGGATATGTGCATGGTGCATAATCCAGATAATTCATGCTCATGGAGTAAATAGCTCTAACATTAACACAAATAACAACCACTAGCATTAACTGAGCACATGGTGCTAAGAACTTGACATGTATTGCCTGATTTAAGATGCAGACAACTTTCTGATGTGTATACGATCCCACTGATAACAGAGAAGACAAAAGCACAGAGCTGTTGAGCACTGAGCTTAGATTAGCACACTCATAAGGGGTACAGATGTGATTTAGAGCCCAGCAAGTTGTTCTGGAGCTTGTGCTCTATGACCACGAGTTAGACTGCCTACAATTCAGCCTCACCTGAAGAAGCTTGTGGCTCACACTTATTTTTCAGAAATGCAATTGAATTAAATCAGTTCAAAATGTGGAAATCCATGTCCACGCTCTATTACCATTCTCAGTCTCTGGTATGGCTCCAGTCTCCACCTCGTTTCCTAAAGATAGATTGGGGTCCAAAACCAGCAGCCCCACAGCAAACCATTCCTCACAAATAGGTTTTGTTTGGCCAATCCAGCATTTTTAATCATTTAACGTCTTTAGATGGGACAGTTTGACTTTACTTTGTCATCATCCCTATCACTCCTTTTTGTCTTATGTCTGGTCAATCAGTGCTGATATTCTCTGCCTTGCCTCCTGAGGACTTTTGAGTTTATAACCCCCTGACTTCCATTTTTGTTTACAGAAAAGAAAATACTAGAAATTGTGTCAATAGCTTAAGAAAATTAATTTAGCTTAAGAAATGTGATTTAGGGCCGGGCGCGGTGGCTCAAGCCTGTAATCCCAGCACTTTGGGAGGCCGAGACGGGCGGATCACGAGGATTGTGTCAATAGTCACAGTAATTATTCAGCTTAAGAAATGACGTAGGCCGGCGCGGTGGCTCAAGCTCAGGAATCCCAGCACTTTGGGAGCCGAGACGGGCGGACTGCAGGTCAGGAGATTGAGACCATCCTGGCTAATACGGTGAAATCCCCGTCTCTCTACTAAAAATACAAAAACTAGCCGGGCACATGGGAGCCAGTCCCAGCTACTCTCGGGAGGCTGAGGCAGGAGAATGGCGTGAACCCGGGAGGCGGAGCTTGCAGTGAGCTTGGAGATCCAAGACGCACTCCAGCCTGGGCGACAGAGTGAGACTCCATCTCAAAAAAAAAAAAAAAAAAAAAGAAAGAAATGATTTAGTTGCCAAATGTTGGGTGTTCTGCATGCTGATTTGTTGATGGGCACTCCCTGAATCAAACGACAACATGAGACTAAGGTTCTTCTATCAAAAATCATCATTTGCAAACCCACCTTGTTTGTTCGATATGATGGGAAAGAAGGAAACAGTGAGACGATGGAATAATTGAGTTCCCTTTCTTTACTTTTCAGCAGACCATATTTTTGGAAACAACTGAGTCCCCTTCCCCTACCCCCTGACACCAAGAAAAGGCTCTGAGAAAGCCAGGGGTCTGGCTCAGCAAAGACAAGTGGGAAGACACCTTTGACTCTGTGACACTTTCCAGGGAGCAGCAGATGAAAACCATGCAGTTTAAAGGGCCAGATAGTAAATATTTCAGGCTTCATAGGCCGTTTGTGGTCTCCACCCCACACATTTTATCTTTTAAAATATTTCTTCCAACGCTTTAAATGCGTAAAATCCATCAGGCATGGTCACATGTGCTGATAGTCTCAGCTCCGTAGCAGGCCGAGGTGGGAGGATCCCTTGAGCCCAGGAGTTGAAAGCCAGCCTGGGCAATGTAGTGCGTCTTCATTTCTTAAATAAATACATAAAATTAAAAGGTAAAGACCATCCTTAGCCCAGGAGCCATACAGAAGCAGTCACTGAGCTAGATCTGGTAGTATTTTGCCAGCCCCTGCCTCAGGAAACGAAGGAAATAATAAAAGCCTCTCCTGGCCAATTCGCTCTGTCCTGTTGCAGGGAGCAACACAAATGCAGAAACTGTCCCAGATGTGACTGGGGCCCTGTACAAATGGAGTGAGGCACTGCAAAAGAACACAAGTTGAGAGCAGAGTATGGTAGATGGGCCCTTCCATCCAAGCCGCCACAGACACTCAGAGGCAGGGGACATCGAGCCCACTAGGTACCATGGCCAGGGCCGTGAACAACTTAGCCATCATTTTCTTGCCAAGTTCATTTTTCTTCTGAAAGCATAAACTTCAATTAAGTGAAATTGCAAGTGACTGTTCTGGGGAAAAATTAGATGTCACTTAATGAGGAAGTGGATTAAACTGAGTGATTTTTACACTCTCTTTTCTACAAAGAGGACAGTTTCTTCACAGTTGCAGGGGAACTGGAAAGAGAACTGGAAGCTGTCATGGTTACCGTCTCTAAGGTTGGACTCTTAAGAAAATGATTATTCCTGGTTTCTACGCAGGCCAAGTGTAATTCACCTCGGTGGCAGATTAAAGAGGCGGGTTTACTAGAATAGAATGAGTATTGGGCATGCTCCAAAGGACAGTCCCCAAAAAGAACCTCCTATCTCTTCTTCCCCTTGGGGAAGGGATTTTGCCACTACCATGTCAGTGTGGCAGCTGCTTGGAAATTGGTGCGTTGTACAACATAAGCATGACTTCTCCAAGAGGTGCCTGTGTAGAAATGGTCATAAATTCAAAACTGTAGCTACTATGTGGACAGGGGGGCAACAAGAACCCCACTTTGTAAAACGTGTTTTGGGGGAATGTTTTGTTTTTCATTTTCTTATTACCTGGCAAAATAATCCAGGTGGTGTGTGAATCACCAGTAGAGATTATAAAGTCCAAGGAAGTAGAATCAACCTTACAAACAGTGGACCTCAACGAAGGAGATGCTACACCCGAACCCACAGAAGCGAAACTCAAAAGAGAAGAAAGCAAACCAAGAACCTCTCTGATGACGTTTCTCAGGCAAATGGTAAGCCCCTTACTTCCAGTATAGGAAACCTAAAGTACCTAGAGTGGCTTCTGGGAACAATGGGCTCATGCCACAGGTAGTAGGAGACATAATTGTAGACAGTAGGTATGGAATATGATTGGAATATGAATTGTGTAGTGAGAAAATTCCCTTTTTTCCTTCTGATTCAATCATACAGAAAGTCTCTGTTTATTGCTAATATTCTTTAACCCTTTAATGCCTGCTAACTCTTTTTAACAAAAAAAGAGCTGCCCTTGGGTTCGAATTTTTTTTTTAATTTCAATAGTTGCGGACCTACAAGTGGTTTGGGGTTACATGGATTAGTTCTTTAGTGGTGATTTCTGAGACTTTAGTGCACCTGTCACCCGAGCAGTGTGCACCATAGCCAGTATGCAGTCTTTTATCCCTCACCCCTCTCCCAACCTTCTCCCCTGAGTCCCCAAAGTCCATTATATCATTTTTATGCCTTTGTATCCTCATAGCTTAGCCCCCACTTATGAGTGACAACATACAGTATTCGGTTTTCCATTCCTGAGTTACTTCACTTAGAATAATGGCCTCCAGCTCCATCCAAGTTGCTGCAAAAGACATTATTTCATTCCTTTTTCTGGCCCAGTAGTATTCCATGGTGTACATATGCCACATTTTCTTTATCCACTCATTGGTTGATAGGCACTTAGGTTGGTTCCATCTCTTTGCAATTGTGAATTGTGCTGCTATAAACATGTGTGTGCAGGTGTCTTTTTCAGATAATGACTTATTTTCCTTTGGGTAGATACCCAGTAGTGGGATTGCTGGATCGAAGAGTGGATATACGTGTAGTATTTTAAGGAATCTCCACACTGTTTCCCATAGTGGTTGTGCTAGTTCACATTCCCACCAACACTGTAAAAGTGTTCCCTTTTCACCACATCCACACCAACATCTATTTTTTTTTTCAGCTTTTTAATTGCTTTTGGGTCCAAATTTTGGCATACAATAGTATCTAACTAGAAGTTACTATTACTGCTTACTTTTATTTATTTTTAAAGTTTCTTTCTGTTGGTGGCCAACGATACTGCTTTTCTCATTATGGTAATGATATGAGGTTTTCTTTGAAATACATTTGTTTACATAAAGAATATCAGGTATTTTAAGGATTATGTATTAAATAGTCCAAGTTATATAAAGATGTGGCAAAAATTCTGAAGGTGACATGTGAGTGACACAAATTTGGACAAAACTAGCTTACAGATAAATAAGGAAATGACAACATAATATTCCAATAGTGAAATATGTAACTTAGTTGATGAATTAGCCATGCTTTTAATTTGTGTAGAATAGAAAGAATGTGATAGATACATTTTACTGTTTATAACAAACCATGCACATTAAATGTCTAAGCAGCCAGGAGCTTAAATAATATAATGCAACAAAACCTAAATCAGTTGGAGAACAAAAAACAAAAATGCATGTAAAAGGTCATTAGTTTAATTCTCTTTTAATGAAAAACAAGAATTTCATTATAGTGTGCCTTTATTTTCAGGAGTATTTGGAGTTTAATCCTTTGAGAAATCAACTCTCTAATTTCACAGGCTCAACCTGTTAAGGAATTCTTTCTAGCCCACAAAACAAAACAAAACAAAACCCTTGCCAATGCGAACTGAGGCATATTAGAAATAATTGTGTTAGAAATTGTTGACAGGAATCATTTTCTTTTCTTGTTATATTCTCGGGGAGTAAAAAGTGTAGAATCAGTTGTGGGCGGCCCATATGGCCAAAACCCCATCTATCTCATTGGCCATTTGATCTGCAGTTTGGCAGTGAAAATGGAGATTAAGACCTGAGATTTTTTTAAACCAATTTTTACATGATGCCAGGAAAGAAAAGAACATTTCGTCTGTTTCTGGCAACTCATCTAACTTACAAATGGGATCCCCAAATAACTCATCATAATATTGACAGCGATCAGCTTTTCCATTTCTGGATGGAATTGAGAGATACCGAAAAAAAAAAAAAAAAAAAAAAAGCAAATAGAATGAAGGTCTCTTCCAAGTAACCAACATGAAACTCCTTCATTTAAAACAGGGAAAAGGACAAGAAACTCCAAAGAAAGCGTGAGAAGAAAAAACAAAAAAGACCTCTAAACCACTCACAGCATCCATCTAAAACGAATTGTTAAATTCTAACAAGGTCTTATATTGCTTAAATGTATCCCCCAGAGCTATCTTTTAGATGCTGTTTGGGAAAATTTTTTGGGAGTAGAAAATGTGTAAGTCTAAATTCTGAGGGAAACAAATTGAGAAGAAAAGCGTCCTTTGGAATCAATTCGCCATAGGATAGGGATGAAGGTAGATGAGGACACTCTTTTCCCCAGCAATCCCCAATGGATTCTTAGAATTGGGTCTCATGATGTCCATCGTTCTTATTACCAGTTGCCCACGAAAAGGCCTGGGAACATGAACATTATCTTTGCAAAGTTTAAATACTGATTGTTGGAATTTCCTTTAAAATTCCAGGTATTCTAAGTATTTTTTTTTCTTTTTCTGTTTTGCTTTCATTACAACACTATATATTATATTGTGATTAATTCAAATAAACAGATGATGAGTTTTCCAGCTTACTAAAATCCCTACCACTCCCTATTGTCACACCCAGTCTAGCTCACTCATTTATGTTACCGGCTCTTTCCCTGTGGGTATTTGGGTTTGCAACCCCTGATAGAGAACCGTCTCATTCTTTAGAACAACTTATTTGAATCATACTGTCTGGATTTATCATACTCAGATTAATCGTTGCTCAATGGATGGATATTTGGTATGTTTTCAACTTTTTGCATTTCATTCATTCACTTATTCAACAAATAATTATTGAGTGTTCATTATATTCAGGCACAAGGGGTACAACAGTGAGCGTAACAGGTGTGGTCTGTTTCCCCATGGAGAAGAAAATAGACATTTATTTTTAAGGCTATCCTCATATTCAGTGAGCACACACCAAGTGTCTTACCCACATTATCTCAATTGCTTCGCAAGCCTGTATGAAGATCCTTATACACCTACTTTTATGCACAGGTGTTAACGTCCCCATTGGGGAGATTTCTGGAAGTTGGCTCTAGCAATTATTTTTAGGAAATACTTTTTGGTAACATGTCCATGGCTTCCAAACTGATTCAAAGTCTTTGGATTTATGCAGGAAAGAAAAAACCTGCCCACAGCTTGAAAATAGAGATAACATCTTGCCCATCACTAAGGGTTTTTTGAGGTTGCAGGGGGAGGCAGGGTTGAGCCAAATAAATAAACGTTTCAAACAAATTTTGGATATTGTTAGCAAAATATCGGTTTGTTTAAATAATTGTCTTAATGGAAGAGAAAACTCAATAGAATAACGTATGCTTTGTATTCAGTTTCACCATTCACCAAATCATTGATTTTCTACTTCTATCCTTTGCATTTCTCTCCCCCCCTTTTTTTTTCTTTTTGAAACAGTCTCGCTTTGTCACCCAGGCTGGAGTGCAATGGCACAATCTCTGCTCACTGCAACCTCTGCCTCCCGAGTTCAAGCGAGTCTCATGTCTCAGCCTCCCGAGTAGCTGGGATTACAAGCGTTTGCCAACACACCTCTCTAATTTTGTATTTTTAGTAGAGACAGGGTTTCACCATATTGGCCAGGCTGGTCTCAAACTCCTGACCTCAGGTGATCCACCCACCTCGGACTCCCAAAGTGCTAGGATTACAAGCATGAACCACGGCGCCCAGCTGGAGATCTTTTTCTTTCTAGAAATTTACTGCTCATAAAAATAAAAACAGAAAAAAAAATCATTTTTAAAATAACTATATTTTAGGGAAAGGAAAACAGAATCATATAAGTCCTAACAGGGTATTCAACACATAGAGATGGAGCACTTCACGAAAATTCTGCAGGCTCCTGCAAGATTTTAAATAATTGCGAGGAATATCGAAGACATCTGTCATGCCCTAAATAGGAAAAGATTCTTATACATATTAATTCAGCTGTATGTCAAGAAATTGAATATTTGAAGTGCTGGTGTATTTTTATAAAGTGAGGGGGTAGAATATTGCATTCATGTGTCCACAAAGCAGGTAGGCAGATGAAACCAGAAAGATGGTAGATAGAAATATCTAGATACAGATTTACACTTCGTCAATATTCTTAACACCTTACACATGAGCGTGCTTTCCTCCTCCAAACTATTTTCACCTACATTATTTCATTTACTCCTCCTCATATCTTTCTTTGGACCATTAGATTTGTAAGAAAATCTTTGTTGGAATAATGTTCTCGGGCTTAGAGAAATACTATGAGCTTTAATAATGGGTAAATTAAAAGTCCAAATGAGGAGGCAGCCATAAAATCAGAGGGTTCTTTTTTTTTAATTAATTACATTCAATCCAGTAAGTCTAACAAAACCTGTTGAAATGTACTATTGGAGGTGGAAAGAGGGTGGTCTGTGATGGTAGTTACAAAACAGAAAACCAAAAGTCTTCTATCTGAAATTCTTCCCTGAGCTTTAAAACATTAATACTGATTTGCTCTTTAAGGAAAGATTTCTGAAGGAAGCATTAATTTGGTGAATTCCTGTCCCTACCAATGACTTGCATCCCTTTCTACCCTAAAAGGGTCTCTGTAGTCATTCAGTACTTTTCAGTTACTGGTAGTAATAACAATGAGAGCTACCGTTTATTTACTGTGTGCTAGGCACTTTGCACGCAGTATCTCATTTATGAATAGAGAACTCCAGGAAACAAGTGCTCTGTCTGCCCCATGATGGACATGAGGATACAGAGACTCGTGAGTATTTACGGGATTTTTCCATGGTCCCAGATCTGGTAAGCGGGAGAGCCAGAATTCCAACTCAGGTTTTTTGTTTTGTTGTCATTTTGTTATTCTAAAGCTCACCCTTTGACTCATGTGTAATTGCTGCTTCCTGTGCTTCTGCAGCTGGGATTCTCAGAAAGGATATGAAGGTAGAACAACCACATGCTCCATTTTTGTGATTTCTTTAGTAGTGTGTTCTGTGGAAATACCATTTTGATGCATTGAGCTGTTGCACTTACCTAAAATGACAATAAGACAAAGGAGAAGAAGATTAATATATGGCTTACTTAAAGCTTCCACATAGATTTTTTAAATATATGTGTCGCTAAACCAAAATTTACCATGGCTGGGGAGTTTTCCTGACCAGTCCAATTCCATTTCAAGTGAGCATCTTGGTAAAATGCTAGGCTCAGATCCATTACCTTTGTTGATCCTAGAAATTTCCAGTAGATGCCGTTCCTTGGATTTGTTTTCCGGTAAACAGTATTGCAGATATACTCACCATATATTAAATTTTCAACCCAATTCTTTTTCTTTTAAATGTCAATTGTGTTTGAATTATATTGCCATCAAAATACATTAACATTCCTTTCAAAGAAATGTGAACTGACCACCAAACATTTTTGCTAGATTTTTGAATAGCTAAGTGATATACATTGGAGATGGTTCCAACATTCCTCAGAGTATCAAGCTGTAGGAATGCATGACACGATGAAAGAAATAAAAAAGGATTTCATTAATATACAAGGCGTGGATGCCACACGTAGCTTCCATCTGAACACTGCGGGCTGAAAGCCCTGAGATGCTTCACCTTTGACTCTCATGAATCAAAATTAACTCCATGAAGAAAGTTGCTCAATCACACTGGAAAATCTCTGAAATTACTTCATAGTCTTTAAACTGTTCTTCAAAGTATTAAATAGTCTCTGGAAGAACTTTAGTCTCTTTAAACAGTAACTTTGCTATTTTTGACAGCTGGAAAAAATAAGCTTCTATATTTATGGTTCCTTTGAATACGGAGTTCAACATGAATTATTCTGATTTGTCTCTGCAAAGAAAAAAGATAGATGGATAGAAGAAAAGGAGGGAAGTGAGGGAGAGAGGACAGGAGGAAGGAAGGGAGGAAAGGAAGGAAGGAAAGGAAGGAGGGAAGGAAGGAAGGAAGGAAGGAAGGAAGGAAGGAAGGAAGGAAGGAAGGAAGGAAGGAAGGAAGGAAGGGAAGGAAGGAAGGAAGGAAGGAAGGAAGGAAGGAAGGAAGGAAGGGAGGAAACAGTTGTTATTAACAGTAACTGCTGCTACAGAAGTGACTTCAGATGGACTTAATAAGATTCTAAGTCTAAACCCAAACTTCAGGCACCTTTGCATACATACAGCTTTACATGCCTCAGAATAAGCAATAAAGAAAAATCACTGAAAAATTTGAGATACTCTCTCTCTCTTCTTATTTTTTCTTTTTAAGAAGTTGAACTTCATTGCAGTAATCTCCCTGACAGCCTGGAGGTCTGTTTTCATGATGTCAGCTGAGATCAGCTGCTGTCAACACAGCCTTCTGATTCAATCCCAATTCTTCTCCAAGGGCTCTCAAAGAAATGGGGGAAAAGAAAGCAAATTGAAACCTTAAATTGGCAGAGTCCCTAATGAATGCCAAATTGAAACAACTAATGGGAAGTTTAGCATTCCTCTCTCCTAGGGGGCAAGTGAGAGAACTTTATTCTCTCGAAAGTGGTGGAGTGGTCATGCATGCCTCTTCACGTCCATTCGGTGTTTGCCTAAAAAGCCATTTTGTGCATTTGTTTGTTTTTTTGCTGCTCAACATTCCCCAGAGGTTGACAGATGTGATCCAAAGCCATAGTGTAAAGGCCACTTGGGAATGCGCTTGAGTAGGAAGGGCTGTTACAACACAGCCTGAATTTGGAGGCTGAGTTAAATCCCTGTGTGTCCAAAGCTTTGGGTGTGATGGGAAGGCTGACAGAGCTGGTTGTGAAGAGGGAAGAGATAACCAACATTTCTTTTTCTAAGCCTTCTCAAGCAAGACTGGCCTTTGTAGAACAATGCACAGGACACGGAGGAAGGAAAAGCCCACTTTCCATGTAGATAGATCTAAATTTTGTGGAGAGGACAGTCTGATGTTTGTTTGCCATTGGGTTGAAAATCTCAGTGAAACCCGCAACAATAATGTTCCTCAGTACACAGAACTTCCAGACACCGCCTCTTTCACACTAAGCAGTATATTAAAAAGAGTACAGCCCTTCTGAAATCCCAGTGCTTTGGGAGGCCAAGGCTGGAGGATCACTTGAGCCCAGGAGCTTGAGGCCAGCCTAGGCAACATAGTGACACTCCATCTCTGCAAAAAATTTTTTAAAAAATAACTGGGCCAGGCACAGTGACTCATGCCTGTAATCCTAACATTTTGGGAGGCCGAGGCAGGTGGATCACTTGAGGTCAAGAGTTTGAGACGAGCCTGGCCAACATGGTGAAACCCTGTCTCTACTAAAAATACAAAAATTAGCCGGGCATGGTGGCAGGTGCCTGTAAGCCCAACTACTCGGGAGGCTGAAGCAGGAGAATTTCTTGAACCTGGGAGGCGGAGGCTGCAGTGAGCCAAGATCATGCCACTGCACTCCAGCTTGAGCAACAGAATGAGACTCTCTCAAAAAAAAAAAAAAAAATAGCTGGACATGGTGGTGTATACCTGTAGTCCTATCTATCTGGGAGGCTGAGGCAGGAGGATTGCTTGACCATGGAGGTTGAGGCAGCTGTTAATGGTGATTATGCCGCTGTACTCCAGCCTGAGTGACAGAGTGGGACCTTGTCTCTTAAAAATAATAATAATAATAACAAAAATAAAGAAAAGCACAGTTGACTCCTGATGAGGGGACATCCCATAAACATCCACATTTGAGTTTGGCCATCCTCCATCTTATCCAAGCTTTTGTCATTTTGTTTAACATTCAGCAATTTCATATAGTGAATGCTCAGTAAATGTTTATTGATTGAGTGGTGGCTCCTGCCTTCTAGGGGCAGTATCGGGAGGTGGTTTAGAGTCTGGAATATGGTCATTGCCTGCTGTCCAATACTGGCACTCAAACCTGCTAGTTCCATGGTGATGCTAGCATCTTTGAGCTTCCATTTCCTTGTCTGAAAAATAAAGTAATTCCTCATCTTAAGGTTCTGACATAATGAATAAATGAAATAATGCAAGTTATTATCTCATTTAGCACAATGCCCAGCACTTAGTAAGCACTCCACTAAAAATTGTCCTTCATAAATAACAGTTTGTATTATCTCCAATGTGAACACCATAGCTCAGATGACAAAGATACATAATATTAATCAGTCAGAAAGTATTTGAGTGCCTTCAATGGACAGTCAAGACCATAAGTAACAGTGGAATCTGGAGTCTTCCTCTTTGCCCCACATTGCTGAAACCCTGCTCTCTACACTCCTCCCATAGCTGGGAAGAGGAGACATTAAGCAGTGATCAAATATGTGGGAATTAGACCTGAGTCAATGTTGTTGATAAGAATTGAGCATTTTATTACCAGATTTTTAAGGTATCAAGCACTAAGCAAAGGATATTACTAAATGCACGGTTAAAACCACAGACCCCAGCATGAGTCTGAACTTGTATATGGCCAACTTGCTGAGCGCAGTGGTGCTCAAACTCAAACAATCCTTAGCGCCACCTGGAGAGCTTATTAAAATGCAGATTGTTGAGCCTCCACCCCTGAAAGTTTCTGATTCATTAAGATCCAGAGTGGGTCTCCAGAATTTGCCTTTCTAGCAAGTTCCCAGGTGATGCTGAAGCTGCTGGTCCTGGAATCACACTTCTAGAACCATTAGCTTAGAGTGTGGAGTTTAAGGAGTCAGCGCCAACCCCATTTATCCCTGTCACTGGTGTTGCTGGCTAGAGGGGGTGCTAAAGGGTAGAAAATGAAATACTCAGCAAAACTCTATCAAGAAGAGAAAAAAAAAAAAAAACAATAAAACACCCACAGCCTAAATATTCCCAGTGGAAGGCTACTCATGGGTCAGTTGTTCATTCAGTCTTCATTTAATATGTTCAACTATCTCCTGCTTCCAACACTAATTGGAACCATCATCATTTATCTGAGAATTGCCTAATTCCAGGATTTAGTACTTTTGTTGTTATTTTTGGAGGCCAACACTTGAATTTAATTAGATACGGTTACAAATTGCGTGGAAATCTCTATCTGAAGAGTAACATGCTTCCAGTTGGTCTTCCGTTTGTCTTGATCCCAAACCTCCATGATAAATGACTGAGATCACCCATTTCAGAACCTTCCTGCATTCTCCATGTCATTGTACTTGTGGTGGCTGAAGGCCATTGTCTGTTTGTTATTTTAGTCAGTGAAAGGGGATGGAGGGATCACCCACTCAGAAGAAATAAATGGGAAAGACTCCAACTGCCAAGTAAGTAACCTCGAACTCAGTTTGGTGGTGGGATTAGCTGGTGTATTCTCGCTTCTTCACAGTATACTTTTCAATAACCTTCTCAGCCACAGCCGACTCATTTAACGTCTCAGGATTAAGCACCTACTATATACCAAGAACGAGATTGGGATCTGCAGACACAAGCGTGAACAAACTACAGTTCCTCAGCTTTATCCTATCAAAAAGTTTTCACACATGCGCTCCCCTCTTTTCTGCATTAAAAATCTCTTCTCACCCTTCACTTTTTGCCATAAATGTCACCTCCTCAAAAAGACCTTCCATATCTGCCTCTCATAACTACACCTTGTTCTTTTATTTCATAGCATCATCACAAATTATAATAATTCATTTATCTCCCCTGCCCCTTCTCATGTCTGCCTGGAATGTCTGTGGAGCAAGAAGTCTCCTTCTTTTATTTCTCTGTCACCTTGCATGGTGTTTGGCAAGTACTAGAATCTATGTCCTGAAGAGAATAAAGACATGGAGTGGGGGGACCACACAGTTTGCTTTCATTACTTTCTTTATTCTAAAGAAATATAGCTATGACATGTTTATAACTACATATGTTCCTTTTTTTAAATGGGATCATGCAACTGTACTCCTTTTTTAATCTAAAAATACACCTCCACAAAAAAATGGCATCAAATATTCTTCTAGTAGTTTTGACAATATAGAGAAGTGGCTACAAGAATGAGTGGTAAACTCAAACTATCTGGTTCAAATCCTGGCTCAGCCTTTTTTTTTTTTTTTTTCCTGTGTGACTTAGGCAAATTGCCAAATCTGTCAGTGCCTCAGCTTCCTCATCTATGCAAAGGAGCTATGAAAAGTACTTCCTCATAGGGTTGTCATACTTAGATGAATCAATACGTGTAAAACATAACATTTCTGGTACAGAGGGCTCAGTACATGTTAGCTACTGTATTAGTCAGCATGGGCTGCCATAACAAAATGCCATAGGTGGTTGCTTTAAAAGCAGAAATTTATTTTGTTGCAGTTCTTGTGGATGGAAAAGATAGGATTAAGGAGTAAGCAAATCAGCAGGGTTTGGTTCCTGGTGAGGACTGTGTTCCTGGCTTGTAAACAGCCACCTTCTTGCTTGTGTGTCCTTACATGGCAGAGAGAGAAAGAGAATAAGCTCGCCAATGTCTCTTCTTATAAGGACACTAATCCTATTGGGGCAGGGCTCCACCCTATGCCTTTGTTTAACCTTAATTACTTCCTATTCCAAATATAATTACATTGGGAGTTAGGGATTCAACATATGCATTGGGGTGGAGGCACAATTCTACTGTTAACAGTGTCTATTTGTTACTATTACTATTATGCAGCTGATAGGGAATTTCCATCTATAATGTTGCCCATATCACACTCATGAATGGACAGCAATGACTGTAAATAGGTTATAGTATTTTTATTTCCATAATAATTGGTTTATCCTACATTTTTAAAACAGGAAATATATTGCTTTTTACTATACTCATTTTGTTTCTTAAGTTATGACTATACCTGGCCCCGAAACTATGTCCCTGGACAACTTTGGAACCAAAATTCCCAAAGATTATTACCTAAAAACAGGATAAAATCATTTTATTCAAAAAGAAAAGCTTAAATATGATGGTATATTTTGTCTGGAATTTTACAGTGAAGGAATTATGCCAATAACCTTGGTGATTCTAAAATTGGAATGACATGTACAAATCCAAATAAGCTGGAAACATCATTCTATTTATACGCACCTAGGAGTGTTTTCAGAATCCAGTTGGGAATTTTATTTTCCGGAGCCTTGGATTCAGACTTGAGAACACTGGTGTGTCCTTTCCATTTTTAGCTAATTTAATTCTCACAGCACCATAAGGTGTCATTTCTTTTATTGCTCCCATAGAGATGAGGAAACTAAGAGGTCAGTTTATCCTTGGTCACACAGCAAGGTTATGGTGGAATTAGAAACAAACCAGGTCCTTCTGACTCCAGGCACTGAGCTCTTAGCCACTCACTGCATCTTAAAATCTTCTACACAGCAAAAACAGTTAACAAGGCATTTGAACTGGGATCTCTGGTCTCTGGCCTTTCTGAAGAGCGTGGTGGTGAGAGTTTCTGTTTCATTCTAAGGGGAGTATCTGCTCTGGGTTATCTATCATACTTGGACATCCATCTCTTAGCATTTGCTGCAACTCTGACAGTTGGGCTCTTCCAGAAGTATTCAAGACCTATATTGCAGAAGAGCTTCTCAAGGTACACTGGATGCCTGTTGCTTCTTTCTCCAAGGACTTCTGGCCTCTGAAGAGCACCAGTGGAGGCCTTCGGGACTGGGGAGTCTCTGCCGTTTGTCTTCCCGCTTGTTTCTGAGGGGGGTGCATGATTCACTGGAGTGAAAGGAAAGCTCTCCTTCAGTTGATGCCTTCTCCATCAAAGCTGCTACCTTGTTATAGAACTTTTTACCTGGGGACAGTACATAACTTCATGAATCATGCTTATATGCACATATCCGGTGGGTCAAGTGTGTTTGACAGTTGCCACCATCAGGGCTTTAAAACTTTTGAAGTCAATATTTAGAAGTTGACATATTTTGCATTTTTAAAAATTTAATTTCAAGGTTCTCTTGAAAAACAGAAGCTCTGACCATACTGGAGCTGCAAGCCTACATGGTATCTCTTGGCTGGATCGGAGCAACTGTGCCCTTTGGACAGGGCATATAACGCTCAGCCTCCCCTGCTCTAAATTTTCTCCCCAACATCAAAGCCAGCCTTGCTTGAACTGGTGCTTTCCTTACACTGGAGAAATATTTTTTTGGATGTTTGTTGCTTTTGCAGCCGGAGAAATAAGATATTCACATGGTTATTCTTACCCCAACCTGCATTTACTAGATTTTTGGATTTTACAGCCTCATCTCATCAAATTATGGAAACGTGGGATTGTAAACCTTTCATTTTGACAAAAAAAGGATATACATTCAAAACTAATAAAACAATCATCTCTTTTACCACCATTTCATGAAGCAGAAGGACAATTTCACACCAAAAATTAGGGTAGATGTAATCATGAAGAAAAGAATGGGCATCCCCAAGAAAACACTCACATGTGGTTGCAAGTGGGAGGAGCCCCCTCAAAGCTGGCTTCAGCATAGAAAGTCTTCAGGAACAGCTAGATCTAGGAGGCACGCGTGATACCATCAATGCCTGGTCTTTCTCTCTCTGTCTCTCTCCATCTCTCAGCTGTGCTTTTCTCTGTGTTGCCTTCCTTTTCGGGAAGATTTTCCCTAGAAATATTGGTGGTTCTGGAAGCTCCAGTCTTGCAACTTCACAGCTTCAAATCTAAGAGAAAGGGAACCAGCCTCTCTCTTATTTCAGCAAAGCTGTGAGATTAGCTCCAGTGTTATCTGCATTTGGCTATGCTGATGGCTCAGCAGGCCAATCACAGACAGTGATCACAGCAGGCCAATCACAGACAGTGCTCTGATTGGTCAGGCCTAAGTCACATGCTCTTGTCTGGAGGTGGAAGTAGTTTGCCTGGACCACGTGGAGTAGATGAGGAAGAAGGGTGTTTCCCCAAGAAAAAGCCAAGTTCTGGTACCAGAATAAGGGATAAAGAGTGCTTTCTGGGATAACATAAAATGTATTAATGAATTACTAGATAACTAAATAAATGTCCCCACCATGACTTCATAAGTGCAAATTTTTCTTTTTTTTTTTTTTACTTTCATTTCACCTAGGATTCATGAAAATGTAGATACTACCCACCATTTGAACATCTCTGTTTTAACATATTTATTCCCTTGCTATTGAGAGTTGTCTTGCAGCCACTAAAAATGTACTTTGCTTGAAATTGCTGTAGACATCAGACTCCGCAGAAAAGACTATCACACCGCCAGAGCCAGAACCAACAGGAGCACCCCAGAAGGGCAAAGAGGGCTCCTCGAAGGACAAGAAGTCAGCGGTCGAGATGAACAAACAGAAGAGCAACAAGCAGGAAGCCAAAGAACCAGCCCAGTGCACAGAGCAGGCCACGGTGGACACGAACTCACTGCAGAATGGGGACAAGCTCCAAAAGAGACCTGAGAAGCGGCAGCAGTCCCTTGGGGGCTTCTTTAAAGGCCTGGTAAGTGGATTTTTTTTTTTTTTCCTTTTCTTTCTGGGCTCTCTCCTTCCCCAAGACCATCTGCCCCAGTCAGTTTTTCAAATTCTACATGTGGCTCTTCACACTGGGATCCCGGGTCTATCATTCAGGGTTTTTGAACTGCTATGTGACTTCCAGCAGGTTCAATCCTTCTCCACTTTACAAACTGAGACCTTAAGCAAGTTATTGCCTCTCTGAACCAGATTTTTTATCTATGCATAAATAATGGTGCCTAACTCACAGAGTTCATGAAACAGTTAGGTGAGATAATGCATCTAGTCACCCAGCACAGTGCCTGAGACCTAGGGAGCAACCATGTAGAAGTTAATCACCATCATCACCGTCAACATCATCATTGGTTTTATTCAGTGTCTTGTGCATAGTAGATGCTCTGGGTAATATTTGTTGAATGAATGAATGGAGAATTAATGCATTATTGGCTTATTTTATTTACATTATATTATACCAATTAGAAGTGTTAAAAAAAATTAGACAAATCAAGTTAAAACACACTTTATGTTGTGAGCAAAGAACAATTCATGAATTGGGCAGCACTCAAAACCCAGAGAGGTTCAGAGAGCACTGCCCAGTGGCATGAGCAGTAAGCTTTCATAGGCCAAACATGGAAGCAAAGTAGAAAACGTATCTGATTGGGTACAATGAAGCATTTGCCTTATTTGGTCACAATGTGATGAGGTGTTTGCCTTATTTGGGAATGGTCTGATCAATTGGTTGCCTGTAATTGGCTGAAGTTTAGCTATTTGTGATTGGCTGCAACCTGGCTATTTATTACAAAAAAAAAAAAAAGTATCCTCATAAGGTAGGTTTTGGTTTGTTTACTTACTGAGTGTGGTTGCAGTTTGTTACATAGACACTCAGAGTAAGGAGACTGCCTCAGGCTAAAGGCCTGCTTATTTAATTTAACAAGGGTGTAAATGTACAATTGTGTTACTCCATGGACTATAGAATCAATGGCTGCTAGATGCAGAGGAAATTTTTTTACTGATTCCAATTTTAGGCAGACTGGTGAGGAGGTGTTTTAGATTTGCTTATTTTACTCTCCTTTACAAAATGGAAGCCCATCTTCACCACTGGATTCCGTGAGGGTAGGGGCGCCACCTTTCAGGTTCAAGGCTGTATCTCAAGCACTTGAAATGGGACTGCATAAACAGCAGGTGCTTGACAAACAAAGGAGTGAATGGATGAGATTAAAATAATAGATACCACAATAGGATATATAGACTTGGAATACATTACTTGAGATTGTTACGCTTCAATAAAACATTGTACTCCACTTTGAGCACACTTGCAATTTCTACTTGCATGTTTAAAAAATACCCACTTTGTGAATGGAGACACTGAAACTGGGTATCCATTAATCATTTAATTTACGTATGGAAACCACTGAAATTTCTTCCCTTCCTTCCTTCCTTTTTTCCCTTCTTCCTTCTTTCATTTTTCTTCCAAAAATGTTTATTAAGCATTGCATCTAAAGCACATTTACACTCATAGCTTCTCTCCTGTTCCACAAGATGTAATAGTTCTTTATTAGCTGCTGCTTTCTGGGTGTAGTGCAGTCTTCAAACTGATCATGTAGTCCTTGCAGTGGTTTCATTGATGTGAGGAACGTAGATGTTGATATAAAGCAAGAATGCCAGTTCGTAGCCCTGAGAGAGACTTCACCCACCTGGGTGAGGCTCTATTGGATTTGCCAACACAAGTCTTCTCAAAATGTACTGTGCACACGAATCACCCAGGGATCTATTAACACACATTCTGATTGAGTAGTTCTGGGGTCCAACCTGGGATGCCACAAAGCTCCTGATTGATGCTACAAAAGCTGCTGATCCAGGGACCACACTTTGAGTAGCAAGTTGCTAAAGGACCAGAAAAGAAGATGTTGGGGAAAGCATTTGGGTTTCTTTTAGTTTACTTTTTTTTTTTTTTTTTTTTGAGATGGAGTTTCGCTCTTGTTGCCCAGGCTGGAGTACAATGGTGCAATGTTGGCTCACCGCAACCTCCGCCTCCCAGGTTCAAGCGATTCTCTTCCTTCAGTCTCCCGAGTAGCTGGGATTACAAGCATGTGCCACTATGCCTGGCTACTTTTGTATTTTTAGTTGAGACGGGGTTTCTCCAAGTTGGTCAGGCTGGTCTCGAACTCCCAACCTCGAGTGATCCGCCCGCCTTGGCCTCCCAAAGTGCTGAGATTACAGGCATGAGCCACAGCGCCTGGCCTTAGTTTACACTTTTTTAACCCATGATTTATTCATTCATTTAAAATGAACACCACCCACAGAATGATTTACATTGTGGCTTCTAATTATTTTAATATAAGCCAGCCTCTACAATAAGTACGAAGGCTGAAAAAGAAAGATGGTATGGAAAAGTTCAGATGATTTCTAATAATTTTCATTTAACAAATATTTGTAGAGTATTCAGAATACTGGCACTGAGCTAGACTGGGGTATTAAAAATGCAACCCTTGTTTTTGTAAATAAAGTTTTATTGGAACATTGCCATGTTCATTCATTTACATGTTGTCTGTAGCTGCTTTCACACAAAAACATGAGGGTTGACTAGTTGGACTGACTAGTCAACTAGACTGCATGGCTCATAAGACTTAAAATATTTGTCATCTGGCCCTTTGCAGAAAACATGTGCCAAGCCTTGAACTAGGTGCTGGAGGTATATTCAGCAAACAAAGGGGACGGGGTCCCTGACATCAGGGGTTCATATTCTAAGGGGAAGCATGGAGCTAAAAAATATTAATAGATACGTTAAAAAACAAAGTTAAACTTATTAAAACTACAAAGTTAAAGTTACAAAATTAAAGGCAAAATTTGCCAAGAAAATTGTAGGTCTGGGAGATCACTGAGGGAAATAAACAAGGTCCCACGATAGAGTTTACCTAAGTATGGATGGGAGGTGTGTGCTACCTTTGACTGAGTGTGTGTGGGGGGCGGGGTGTGCTACTTTTAATTGGTGGATCCCAAAATTGTCTCTGAGGAGATATGTCTGAGATGAGACAGGAAGGGTTAAAGGTGCCAGACAGGAAGAGAGCAACGTTCATTCTACCAGGAGGAGGGGACAGCCCTGGCAGAGGTGCGGGGGTGAGAATGAGCTTAGTGAGCTTAGTACATTTCAGGAAGAGAAACAAGGCCATGGTTGCTGCCGGTGGAGAGGTAGGGTGGGGGAAGAATGGTGGAAGCAAGATTGGAGCCGTGGGCCGGGACCTGCTCATGCAGGCTATACAGGCTGTGCACGGAATGGGGACATAATCCTGTCTGAGCAGGGACGCTACTCACAGATATTAAGTAAGAAGTCTTGGCCACTGTTGATAACATTCAAAGATTTTATTTTGCTGCTGTGCTGGAGAATGGCTGTTGAAGGTCATTAGGAGCTGGTTAATACAGGTCATGTTTCCTGGGAGAGCTGATGGAGATTGGCCTGGTGATTCCTGAGGAAGAGACAAGAAGTGGACAGGTTTGAGACACTAATTACAGTTCTAGACACCGAGTCCCTCCTCTGGGACCACACTCCTTTGTAGACCTCATCTCTTTAGGATGGCAGCATCCCTTCAGAGTGGGACTGCTTCTGCCACACCTCCCAGACACATAAGCCAGGCCCCCAAGAAGCTGTGTCTTTTCCTGAACATTCCACAGGTTCTCAGAGACAGAGTCAGCATTCAGCTCAGGTCCCCTAGACCCCAAGTCCTGCACTGTCCCAGTGTCACAAGGCCTTCAGCAATGATGGAGGATCGATGGGGGCTTCCCTGCCACTTTCCAAAGACTAAGCCTCAAAGACTTTCAAGCTGGACACATTCCCCAGGGTTGCCCAACTGCCTTCCTGGGAGGGGAACGCTGGCAGCCAAGTCTGTCACCGCCCACAGAACTATAGTGGTGCCTGTCACCCACAGGAAATGAGACACACCGCAGGCCGATCCCTGCGTGATCTTTGTCTCACAGTGACGTCCTCGTTAGTCAGGTCCTTTTCTCCTCCTTCTCCATCATGCTGCTTGAGTTCTAACTGAGAGCAACCCACTCGGTTTTCAAAAATTTGAAAAGAACTGGAAGGAAGCCCTTGGAATTCACAAAGTCCAACTGTTTGCAAACATTTTCCTTTCTTTTTGAGCGAAGGGACTTTTTTTGTTTACAAAAGAAAATGTCACAAAACCTGTGTGTGTGTGTGTGTGTGTGTGTACAGATATACGCATATATGCACACACAGACACATATGATAAAAGTGAAACTATTCTGATTGGTGGAAGACTGGATTTCTCCCTTCCCCTAAGCACCACTTCTTTGATGGCCCCTTTCCCGGCCTTCCCCTTTCCCATTTTCTTGGGCCCCTGAACTGCTAGATTCTGTGCAGTGCAATCTGCAGGCAGGTTTAGTAGATGAACAGAGGGAGGTTTGAAAGGGGAATACATCTGTCCACACTGGTGTGGGCTGAACCGAGGCTTGTGACAATCAGCGCAGTCACTCCAAGGAGCCTGAGACCAAGGGTTGGAAAGAGCGGGCAGTGAACAGGAGAGAGTCGGGGACAGCAGGTGTTCTGAGGGCCAGATTCCAAGTCAAAGTGACCAGGCCATTACTGCATGACCTAGTCCTAGGTCATCTTGGAGCCTCAGTTTCTGCATCTGTAAAATAGGGTAAATAATAATCACTGTCCACCTTACTGGGCTGGAGATAGAACAGGTAAGAGAATGGGTCTGGTTTGGCCTTGTGAACTGTGAAGTGTAGTTCTGGTATACAAGGCAGGAAAAGGGTTGGATTTATGTCTCTGACCTCCAAGGTGGAGTCTCAGTGAGGCCAGAAGGGCACGTGTATGAGGCCAGGGAGTCAGGTGTGGTCTGTGGCAACCTGAAGGGCTGGTGCCCACCTAAAGGGGGTGCCACTCCTCAGCACCAGCCACATGTTACCTTGGGGAACTGCAGACCCATTGTGGCAGGACCTGTCTATTTATTCAAGATAAAATAACAAAAGTGGGGAATTTTTATGAGAAAATACCTAATTTTTAAATGCTAGCATCTAATTTTTTAAAATAAATGAAGAAAATGCTTGTACAAGTTCATCTATAAGCAAAGTTCAGGCCCGTGGCAGCCACTTGGCCATCTGAGTTTGCTGTTTAGCCCATCAAGCCCCAAGGTCAAGCTCATGGAACCTAAAGGATGGAAACCCCAGGGAAGTAAGCTTTCATAGAGGTGAGCTGACTGGGCAGGGTGGAGCCTGCGTGAACCAGGACCCACGGCAAGGCATGCTGGGCAAACAGAGGCAGAATGGATGGGTGCCACCCATGGCCAGCCTGAGACCAGGCTCTGGACACTTGCAAGAAGCTTGTTCCTGGACTTCAACCCAGGTCCCATCTAGTGGCTGCCTGAGCTTGGACCTGTCACCTTGCTGAGTTTCAGATACCAGATTAATGAAGTGAATGGTGCTGACATCACAGGGTTAGCATGAAGATGAAATGCAGTTGTGTACAATGCCCTAAGAGCAACGCTTGTGAGGTTTGATTAGTCAGGAAAGGCTATTTTGTGAGCATTACTTAGTTAGCCCCTGCCCTGGGTTGTAAAGGTGCAGAGATGAGTCGGGCACCGCTGTGCCATGGGGAGTCCCGGCACCCCACTTACTGGCAGGGACTTGGCTAAAGTAGCTTAGGCTCTCTGGGCTTCAGCAGCCTCTTCTGTAGCCTCACAGCAGCAGTGGCATCAACCTCATGGGCTGCAGTGAGGACCAGGTAGAATAGAGGCAGTCTAAGACCTCACACACATGAGGCAGCAGGCTCTCAGCGGCGGGAGGCCAGCCGGAGGTCATGAAACCAGAAAGGGATGGAGCATCCCCAAATCCACAGCTGACTCCTGAGCCCAAGCTTTGAGTATCTCGCGGTGTCCTGGTCATCTCTTAATGCCTCAAAACTATTAATAACACAATGTGTTGTGTGCAGTATGTGCTCAATATATATATTGTTGAATGAATTAGTGAATTCAACTATGACCACTAAAAATAATCACAACTCTTTTATCACACTTACTGTGTGACAAAGAGTGTTCAAAGTACATTGCATATACTAACATTCAATCTTCAAAACTACCCTGTGAATTCCCCTTTTATCAATGGTAAAATTAAGGCTTAAGTAGAGGGTTAAGCAATTTGACCAAAGTCACCCAGCTAGGAAGTGACAGGTCTGGTGTTCAAAGCCCAGCAATCTGATTCCATGGTAAATTACATGAAATTACACTACACTATGTAGTATATACAATGTACTATACTATGCTAGGCACTACACAGTCTATGTACTCTATATATATACTGTATATGTGCGCTATGTACATCATATATACTAAACTACACTCTATTTATTATGCTATAATACAGTCTATATACTATATTTCGTATTATATGATACCGTGTATATTCTACTGCATTCTACTACATGACACTATGTACATATACTAGACCATACATACTTTGTGATAGTATATTAGACTTCCCTTTCCTATACTATATACTATACTGTTCTGTATATATCATACTATATTATACATTATGCTATGCTACACTATATTTACTATACTATACAGTGTGCTAAACTATACTGTGCTATATTTACCATGCTTGACTATACTATATATGTATACTATATATACTATAAAATATACACTACCCTATATTATACTATCCTATATTACCTTATACTACACTATACTGTCTATACTATGCTACAAATACATTATACTACTCTATACTATATATATATACTGTAATGTACAATATATACAATCTTATACTGTACTACCCTATACTGCCTTATAGTATAAAAGGAGGTCCACAATTGATCCATGCAGCAATGTGGGCGAATCTCAAATGCACTATGCTACATGAAAGAAGCTAGTCTGAAGGGCTGTATATGCTCTAGGATCCCATGACATGACATCCTGGCAAAGGCAGAACTCTAGGGATGAGAACAGATCGGTGCTTTCCAGGGTCTGCGTTGGGGAGGGGTTGACCACAGAAGGCACAAGAAGGATCTGAGAGGGGACAGAACCATGTGACATGTCAATTTGGGTGGTGGTTTTAGGTAGCTATTTGTGCTGGTCTATCCTCATATAACCAAATACAGAAAAGGTTAACTTTACTTTTTGTAAGTTTTACTTGACAGAAACGGTAAAATAATAATAATAATAGTACCCAAGCTAGGCATAGTGGCTTACACCTGTAACTCCAACACTTTGGGAGACCAAGGTAGGAGGATCACATGAGCCCAGGAGTTCAAGACCAGCCTGGACAACAAATTGAGACCCCATCTCTACAAAAAATTCAAAAATTAGCTGGGTGTGGTGGTGTGCACCCGTAGTCCGAGCTACTGGGGAGGCTGACGTGAGGGGATCATTTGAGCCCAGGACTTCAAGGCTACAGTGAACCACAATCCCACCACTGTACTTCAGCCTAGGCAACAGAGTGAGACTTTGTCTCAAAAAAGTAAAATAAAATAAGAGTATCTGCCTGACAGCATTCCTTCACCCACATTCAGTCAGTGTTAAGGTTAGGTACCAAGTGCTAGGAACCTACAAGGCACTGAGACACGCAGAATCTATGCAACTTCCAATATGGTGTAGAAGACAGATGTTAGACAAATAAATTAGATAATAAAATCATTTCAGAGAGTGGTATGTTCTGAGAGAAAATAAAACAGGGTGATGAACCTAGATGGTAACTGGGGAGCGGGGGCTAAAGTGAGGTAGAATTGGTTGGGGTTTCTACACCCCAGGTAGTAAGTGCATTATAAGTATGAACTCACTTTATCTTGGGAACAACCCTCTGAGGTAAGTTTGCCATTTCCATTTTAAAGATAAAGAAACCAAAGCACAAAGATGATAAGTAATTTGTCCAAGTTTTCACAAAGCTAGAAAGTCATGTAACTGGGTATCAAACCCGGGCATCTGATTGGAGACCATTCTCTTATCCAGCACTGAGGAATGAGATACATTAATTTAGCACAGTACCTAGCACACAGTAAGTGCTACATAAATGGCCATTGTTGCTGTTGACATTACAGATCTTCAATAGGCTGCCACGTCTTTCTGTTTTTCTCCAGGGACCAAAGCGGATGTTGGATGCTCAAGTGCAAACAGACCCAGTATCCATCGGACCAGTTGGCAAATCCAAGTAAACAAATCAGCATGGTTCCCACCAGGTTCTCCTGCCACCAAGATGTGTTCTCCTTACTCCATCTCCTCCTCAAACACGTTCCATGTATATATTCTTCTGATAGCCAGCAAATGAAATTCTGCCTAGAAATTAAGCCCGAGCTGTTGTATATTGAGGTGTATTATTTACGTCTCTGGTCCAGTCTTTTCTGGCAAATCACTGTAAAGATGGTTTAGCAGGTCACCTAGTTGGGTTGGAAGAGTTGATGATCACCAAGCGGGAAAGGGAGGGAGTAGAGGAATGTGTTCGGGTTAAGTGATGAAAATGGCAGTGGTGGCCGGGTGTGGTGGCTCTTGCCTGTAATCCCAGCACTTTGGGAGGCCAAGGCGGGTAGATCACCTGAGGTCAGGAGTTCAAGACTAGCCTGGCCAACATCGTGAAACCCATCTCTACTAAAAATACAAAAATTAGCCAGTCATGGTGGCACGCACCTGTAGTCCCAGCTACTCGGGAGCCCGAGGCACGAGAATCGCTTGTACCCAGGAGGTGGAGGTTGCAGTGAGTGGAAGCTGCACCATTGCACTCCACCCTGGGCGACAGAGCAAGATTCTGTCCAAAAAAAAAAAAAGGTAGTGGCAAGTAAGCTGTGGAAGAGAAATGATGCTAGAAGGAATTAAGCGTTGTAGTAAACGTGTGCTCGTCCTCTAAGCTTGAAGAGGGGAGATGAAAATCCATTTGTTTAAATTCACATCTCAAGGAGGGAGAACCCGGGCTGTGCTGGACGGTTGCCAATTTCCTAGAATGGAATGTGTGGGGTATAGAAAAAGGAATGAATAAGCGTTGTTTTTCAAATAGGGTCCTTGTAAGTTATTGATGAGAGGGAAAAGATTGACTGGGGAGGGCTTAAAATGATTTGGGAAAACAATTGCTTTTGAGGCTCAGTGACAAGGGCAAAGATTACAACTTAAAAAAAAAAAAAAACAAATAAAGGAAGTTGCACAGTTATTTTGCAACACAAGGGGGCGGTAAGGTCCCCATTTTTATCCTGTATTCTGTATCCCTAACAAAGATTTGGTCTCTGCTTTCTTACATTATTAATGTTTCTCAGATGGCTGAGGGGCTCGCTTCATCTGTTCCGTCTGACACTTATCTCAAGTGTGTCTGTCATTCCTAATGTTCTCAGGATGTGCTTTGATAAAACCCTCCCCATAACCTCAGTTAATAAAAATTCACAGAAGATTATTCAAATACGTGAGTTGTTTTTAATACCTGTACAAAGGAGTAAATAGGACCCTGAGTCTATTAAAATGTAATTCAAAGTAGCATATGATTGACTGACAGTCATGTAAACTGTATCTTTCTTTTTCTGATTTAATAAAAAATACATTTACTTCTAAAGTATCTTTTAATTTCCAACTTTCAAAGCAGTCCCACTCTATATCTGAGATGGCTCTAACTTCTACAGTATAAAATCCATACTCTTCCTCCATTGTCGTCTTTGGAAGATAATTCTCTCCCAGATCCTCCCGGATTTCCTTGTATATGGGTACACACACACACACACACAAATGCGTGCACCTGTATGTCTGCATGTACACACACATGCATGTATAGAATAGTGCTGTCTTAGGCCAGGTTGCCTGGAGCAGAACCTGAGATGGGGATTTGGACACATAGGATATACTGGGAGTGGGCTCCCAGGGAAAGCGAGTAAGAGGAAAAAAAAGAGGGCAAGAAAGGAGTTGGGCAAGGGTTGGTTTCAGCTGGAGCATGAATTGCACCACCCAGATAGTTTGACCTTGAGGCAAGGGAGCCGGCCTTTGTACCCCCAGAGGTGAACTGTGGGCTGTCCTGGGAGGTGGAGGGATGGAGAAGCTGGGATGCCTAAGTAACTGGAAGATGAGTGCATTGGCAGTGTCCTCTACAGACACACACATATATGTTCAGATACATATTTATACCCATATTTGCATATATATGCACACATTCATGTGTATAAATATATATCATTCAGGAATAGATCCATGCACTCACACAGTCATATTTACATACATGCAAATAAATACATGTAACTAACACAGATCCACACACACACATTGGCTCATACAAATCTATGCAATTCATCACACATTGATTGGAGATGAACACTGAATATACTCTCCTGATGTGGACCTCAACTATAAGGACAAGTCTGATGCTTAGGCAAATCACACCACAGCTTTGGCAAATAGGCATTTGGAAAATGTGTTCAACAAAATATGGTATCACTCAAAACCCAGGTGTAAGTAAGGAGGGGATCCTGTGCTGCTGGGGTCTGTTAGCTCCCAGCTTGGACAGGCCGAATTCGTGTTTCAAATAAAGACCAGAGGTCTTTTCCTTGCAGCTGGGTTAGCTTTTCCAAACCTCCTGACCATACCTCGAGATTACTCACACCTGTGCCTCACCCAGTTGCGAACTATCTCGTGCCGCTTAGTATCAGAATGCTTAACTTGACACGAAGCAGGAAAACAGCACCTGGGGAAGCCCTTGACGGGAGGCCCCTCACTGCCATCATCAGAGCACGGGGTGATTCAAGGAAACCGGGCAGCTGCTATTCCTTTGTCTCCAAACACCGCGGGAATTGCCTGCTGCAACCTTTGGTGAGCTCCTGCGCTGTAGTCCATTGAGGAAGGTGATAGTATCATTTGCAAATTTCACCTCGCTGGGTACAGGGGCTTTTTGCCCAGATAAGAAATGCCCCTAGGCAGGAGGGAGAGAAACAGACTGAGTAGCCCAGGCCAGTTACTTAGCTAGTTACTAAGGCAGATGGAGCCCTCCCAAGCGCCCCACTCAAACAAAACAAAACAAAATAAAACAAAACAAAAAAAATGCTCTTTGCTGAGAATCTCTCTGCAAAGCATGCCAACAGTTTTTATAATTGGTTTCCTATGCTCCTGGGCCAAAAAGGAGAATAGTCTTTTAATGAAATTGCTTTTAAAAAAAAAAAAAAAAAAAGCAAGAAAGACCAGAGAGAAGTAAAGCACATGACTTATTGGGAGAACTCTCAATTCAGTTATAGCTTAAGAAACAATACTCCATTTTGTGTTTGTGTGTGTGTTGTTGTTGTGTTGAGATCCCATTCCCAATGCATTTACAATAAATACTAATGACCGCCCCTTATGCTGAACTAGAGTGAAAAAGAGTAGAAACTCACCCGTAAACCCAAGAAAGCCTTTAGGACACAGATTCCCAGAAATGCCACTCAGACAGAACAAGCAGTGGGGAAAATAAGCAAAGCAAAGTGGCACACAGGAAAACGTTACGAAAAGAGAAAGAATTAAGACCGGGGGGAGGGAGCAAAAATGCCTTTATTATCATTATTATTTATTGACTTATTATTTATTTTTAGGTACACAGGGAAGCGTGTCTTCTCCCATGTCAAGAAGAAGTGGCCTTTCCAGGAATGGAGCTATTGAGCTGAAATGGCTGCCACTGCACACACACACACACACACACACACACACACACCCCTCCCTTCCAGTTCCAGCTGACGGTGACTTTTTGACTGGTAACCATAAAAGAATTCATTCAAAAGGGCAGTTGTTCCCAGCAGCCAGTGAGGTCCTTCCTGCATTCATCGTCTTGGAGAAGGAGGCACATACCAAAATAGAAGCCAAAATGGGAAGGAAAAGAGAAAGAAAGTGAAATTCCTGTGTTTTTGTTGTATGTATCCCCTTGCTTTTTAGACAGATTACCAAGGGTTTAAACACACACTCTCTCCCCTCCCTCCTCCCACTTCACACACACTAGATTGTTCTCGTTTGTTTGCAAACAGTCCAGAAGCACTGGGGTCTCATCAAATTAGATTCTAAGTGTCTTAAAGAATTAGATTTCAAGAAACCAAGAATCTGTGTCCTTCCCCTTCTTGAAGTGCCTGGAAGGGTGCAGATTTCTCCCACCTGAATCTGGCAATGTTATTTCCTATGTCAGAGAATTCCAAGTAGATCTTATACCTTAAAAAAAAAAAAAAAAAAATCAGCTACACTACCTACCTTACAGGGAAGGAAAAAGAAATGATTCCAATTATTAACTAACCCAAGATACAAACACATGGGAAACTAGGGAATGTGCTTTGCAGCAATGTAAGACTATAGGAGTTGGTTTTAACCATCCTTTGAATGTCCCTCTTTAAGCCTTTTTAAAAGGCAATTTTGCACGATGAGTAGAATTAGGCTTCTCCGTGGTCAAGATTTTGTTCACTCTATCAGTGTAAATTAAGTGGCACTGGCCCACTGGAAATTATAGTCTCCATTAGGAAGAAAAGAAATTACTTACCGAGCAGCAAATTCTCTAAATTTGTAATTCAGATCTTTAGCGCAGAATGCCGGTCAGGATCCAGCCCTTTGCATAAATTGGTTTGCTGGGGAGTTTAACCCCTTAGCCTCTGTTGCCCTTTTCTTGAACGGTATTCACGCAACCCTCTCCATCTCCTGGCCCTTTAACTGGCCCGGGTAGAAGTTGCAGTTCACAATTTCACAGAAGTAAGGATAATACATTGTCACACATTACCGTTTATAAAGTGCTCTGGGTACAATCTGTAATTTAAGCTGTATTTCCCTCACTGAACTTAAGTGCTTCCTTTGTTACATTTCATCACCGGGGGACTGGCATGCACCTGTATAGATTTTTTCTTTTTCGTTTTTTGTTTTGTTTTGTTTTTCCAAATGAGCACTTCTTGACAAAATGGCCCCCAGCTGCACTTCTGCTATGACAGCCATGGAAGGGCTGGTTCCTTACGTGAGCTACTCTCCCAAAAGCATGCTTTTGTCAAAATACGGCCACATGGGGGAGCTGCAGGACCTGGGGTTCTACAGCGCCTAGCCCTTTTTCCCTCATTGCCTAATCAGGAAACTGGGCCAAAGCAGCCTGAGAGTGTATTTGTTGATTAACTTCTAGAAAGCAGTCGAGTTTAATGAGGAGAACTAGAACGAGAAAGCTGAACTGGGCAAGTCAGTTGCCTTCTACGATTCTCAGTCCTCCAAACGAAGATAAGGTTGGTTGGTTTGTGTTTCCATCCTTATCCGCTCCATCTTGGAAGAAGCTCAAGGAAGATTGTGTGATTGCAAAACGTTTAAGTTGGTGTCATTGCAGTGCATTTAAATAATCCTTACTGGCCCATCCTGCCTTACCTCTCATCTTCTCCACTCCCAAATAGAGAGCAAGTGATTTAAACTCTGAGTGTCCTCCCTCAACAATGGGCTAATAATAGAGCCTACTCGTGGAGTTGCTGTCAGCATGCAGTGAGATGGTGCCTACCAAACATTTATTGCAGTGGCTGGCACATTGTAAGCACTTAGGAAAGGCAAGCTATTCTATCATGGGGAAATTTTAGCACCAAGTAACAGAAAACCCCTACTTGAACTGGCAGATAATCATAACAATAAGGGTATTTATCATTTCATATAATAGGTGTTGTATAACATCTTTGGCTTTGATTCTCTGAGACTCTGTTCCAGCTAACAACGATAATGAGGAAATGTATCTTTTCATATAGCTGGTGTTAAGTCTCACAGCCTGGCTCTGGTTCTCTGACACTCCATTCTGCCATGTTCCATGGGCTGACTTCATCCTAAAACTGTGCTGAACGATGGCTGCAGTTCCAGGCAAGGGGATTTGGGAATACCATAATCAGTTTCAATGAGTCATTTTGGTGAAATCATTGTTGAGAAGGCAATACAATGATGCGGTAGACAGGAAAGCCATTATTGATATCAGTGTTTTTAAGGCTCACCATTCCCCAAACTAACTATGCCCCTTCAATTCACACTTAGGGGATTTGTGTAATGACGGTCCCCACTTCCAAAGCAGGGCCACTAGACTGTGAACTTATCAAGATCTGGACCTTCTTGTCTTGCTCATTCACTGTTCTGTTGTCAGTGTCTAGCACAATGCCTGGACACGGTAGATACTCAACAAATATTGGTTGAATGGATACATTGATAAACAAATATCCTGTGGCCACACCCATTGTGGATCGCCTTATCCTCTAGCGTGAATTTGTTTTAACTCCGAATACCTGATCACCCTAACCAGACACCTACCCTTCCCAGGCAACCAGCCCAATGGTTCTAAAAGTACAGTCCCAGGACCAAGCAGCCTCAGCACCACCTGAAAACATATTAGGAATGCAAATTCTCAAGCCCCGCTCCATACCTGCACAATCAAAAACTCCTGGGATGGGACTCAGTAACCTGTGTTTTAGCAACCCCTCAGGTGGTTCCAATGAAGGAGAAAATGTGAAAACCACTGGTCCAGGTAGAGCTACCACTTCATTGAGCATCAGCAGCGTGTTTGGTCCAAAGACAGGCCCTGAAGATGCATACAGAGTAAAAGCTAGCACTGAACCTCACTATATGCCAGGTATTGTGTGTCACATGACTTAACCTTGTTCACTGCTTATTTCACAGATGAGGAAACTAAGGCTCAGAGAGAGAAAACGACTTTGCCCAAGAACACACATGGCACAGCCAAGGTTCAAATCCAACCTAAGTACATAAACGCTTGCTTTCGTGTCTGTGGGAGAGACAGGCAGGCAAAAAAACAATAATAATACGATGTAAGAGAAGCAAATGCAGGATGTCGTGGGACTCAGGGGAAGGCACTGGCGCAAGACCACAGGGGGTGGAGGTTGGCCACTTTGGGGAGGTGACAGTTGAGTTAACTCACACAAAATGAATAAGCGTTGGACAAAAGAGCTCCCAGAAGAACAGCAAGTGTAAGAGCCCAGGGTCCATGGAGAGAATGGCAGGTAGCTTAGCATGGCTGAAGTGAGACTGTGGGGAGAACGGATCAGAGGATGGAAGCTGGGGAGGTGGCACAGATGGATCTCAAGGACTTGGAGTAAAGAGTCCATAGTAACGAGTTTAAATTGTCTCTGGAGGGCAATGGGGAGCTATGAAAGATATTTGAGCTGGAGGGTGACATAGTCAGATTTATATTTTGGCTGCAGGTAGGATCTAATACAAAAGCAATTCAACTAATATTCACTGAGTGACCTGAGCTATCTGGGAGATATTTATTATAATGTGTTAAACTTCTTCGAAGACTGTAAGAAACAGATAAAACCTCTAAATGGTTTTGACCCTTAAAAGGACACGTAAATGGCTATTTCTAAGTGTCATAAACATGGACTTGGGATTTGACCTCATCATTCACCCAGATGATTCACACCCATGATCCCAGGCCGTGAGGTCTTGAGCAAATTACTTCTTCTCAGAGCCTTGGTTTGTTCCTCTGCGGAATGGGAATGCTAACAGCACTTATCTCAGAAAGTTGCTGAGAATAAAGGAGACCATGCATTTAGAGCGTGTAGGCACCGTGTCTGGAAGGTCATGAGTGCTCACTTAGCTTATTGATGAGGATGCAGATGACCTCGGCCTGCGATAGAACAGATGTGTTCTCTTTCACGGACTGAAGGCCACCCAGCCTTTGGGACATCCTTAAACTTTGCCCCAGTTTCTCCTCATCCTCATAGGCAGCTGACTGGCTGGCTTATCTAGATAAAAGAAAGGAGGGAGGAGAGAAAGCAAAGAAAATGTTCATTCTCCCTGCTGTTCACCCCATTCTGAAGTCAGGCAGAATTTCCGGAGAGGGAGCTCGGGTCCACCCTTGGCTGTCCTTGGTTGTATGGTCGCATCTACTTATAATGGTGGCCAAGTCACCATGGCAGTAGGTGCTGTGGCTGCCCTGCCCCATCGTCTTCAGTCACCCAAGTTTACCTGCAGCACTGACAGCTTCCCACCCCAAAACTCCTCGTTCTTTGCTTTTCCTCTTCGTGGCTTTCTCCAGGGGCTGTAGGAGCTTGTTTAGCCCACCTGCATGGCATTTTGAAAATAGCTGAAATTTTATGCCCGGAAGGACAACTCTCAATCAATGAAAGATGGGAGAGGGCAGGTAAATATCTCAGCTGCCCCATCTCTCAGTGAGTGGTACGATGTTGAGGGGTCGTCTTCATGTTCTCTCAAGGGTCCTCAGCAAGACCAAGCCACCCTTCACCCACAGCAGTAACATACTCATGAGCACGCGCCCCTCCCCACCCGCACCATTTGTGCTTCCTGGGATCATTTCCCAAATAAACTACTTGCACCCAAGTTTTTGTCTTAGAGTCTGTGTCTTAGGTTAAAAACTTCTGGCCCGGCGCGGTGGCTCAAGCCTGTAATCCCAGCATTTTGGGATGCCGAGACGGGCGGATCACAAGGTCAGGAGATGGAGACCATCCTGGCTAACACGGTGAAACCCCGTCTCTACTAAAAATACAAAAAACTAGCCGGGCGAGGGGGCGGGCGCCTGTAGTCCCAGCTACTCGGGAGGCTGAGGCAGGAGAATGGCGTAAACCCGGGGGGCGGAGCTTGCAGTGAGCTGAGATCCGGCCACTGCACTCCAGCCTGGGCGACAGAGCGAGATTCCGTCTCAAAAAAGAAAAAAAAGGATCACCTGAAGTCAGGAGTTCTAGACCAGCCTGGCCAACATGGTAAAACCCTATCTCTACTAAAAATACAAAAGTTAGCTGGGCGTGGCCGGGCGCGGTGGCTCATGCCTGTAATCCCAGCACTTCGGGAGGCCCAGGTGGGCGGATCACCTGAGGTCAGGAGTTTGAGACCAGCCTGACCAACATGGAGAAACCCCATCTCTACTAAAAATACAAAATTAGCCGGTCGTGGTGGCACATGCCTATAATCCCAGCTACTAGGGAGGCTGTGGCAGGAGAATCGCTTGAACCGGGGAGGGGAGGTTGCAGTGAGCCGAGATCGCACCATTGCACTCCAGCCTGGGCAACAAGAGCGAAACTCTGTCTCAAAAAAAAAAAAAAAAAATTAGCCGGGTGGCCTGGTGGCAGGCGCCTATATTCCCAGCTACTCGCCGGGGGCGGGGGTGGGGGTGCTGAGGCAGGAGAATTGCTTGAACCTGGGAGGCAGAGGTTGCAGTGAGCCGAGACTGCGCTATCACACTCCAGCCTGGGGGACAAGAGCGAGACTTCGTTTCAAAAACAACAAAAAAAATCTGTGTCTTAGGGTTTTCGCGGGAACATCTATCCCATGACAAGGAGCTGAATAGAAGGACATTAATATGGGCGCTAGTTTTAAAGGTGCTGGAAGAGTTGAAAAGACGAGCATGTTGAAAAGACACCCAGAGATTAGAAATAGAAATAGGCTACAAACAGAACTGCCATTAGAGACAGATAGCCAAAGGGAAGAGGTGATGCTACTGGAGCCAGGGAACCTGGGCACCCTGTGGGAAGTAGAACCCCATGTGGATGGGGGTGAGGCGGCCTGAGGGTAGCTGGAACCAGATGGAAGCTTCTGCAAGCAGTAGCTTTTTGTTGTTTGGAGGGAGGAGGCAGGAAAAATACGTGTCAGTGCTGCCCATTGGCTGAACCTAACCAGAAGCCAGTTGGTAAAGAAACCTGGGAAATGCAGTTTGAAGAGAAACTTGGAAAAATGATCTAAGAGTAAACAGACAAATACCTAGCACAGTTGGTGGCTTTAAGAGGAGGAAAAAGGGAAGGAAAGAGGAGGGGAGGGGAGGGAAGGGAGGGGGCAACCTTGATTAGGGTCCCACCCCCTTCCCTGGCTCTAAATAAATGAACATGTGTGCTACGGTCATGCTGACATCTTTGTCTCCTCTTTATGTTCAGAAGAGAGCAGTAGCTATGAACACAGGCTCTGGGTCCAAACGGCCTTGGTTGGAATCCCAGTGGTGCTACTTGCTAGCCACATGGCTTTGAGCAAGTTCCTTAATTTTTTCGAGCTTCACTTTCACATCCAAAAAGTGGAGACACTAGCAGAATCCACCTCACTGAGTTGCTGTGGGCATTTAATGATGTATTCCATGCAAAGCACAACATTAGTGTCTAATGAATGTTCATGCTCATGGAGACATACTGTTCTTTGAGTATCAATCAGCTTTTTCAAGTTCCTGCTAAAACTTTCTTCTCCTCTTTATCACTCACACCTCCAACTTCAATATCAAGAATCTACCCCTTGTCTCTACTTCACTGTCTTTAAAAAAATAAATCAATCAATCTTTCTATTTTCATAGAGGTTCTGTGAGAACTGAGGAGAAACAGCCTTTCTCCTCCCCTCTGGGCTCCTAACACTCTCTCCGCATCGCCTGCCCCCTCCCTATCTTTGCTGGCCAGTTGTTCACAAGTAGCTTAACAGTTTTGAGAATACAAAAACAGGAAACTATGCCCCAGCCCTAAGACTAAAAAACTCATGTGCAAATCCTTCAGTGGACAGATTTCTTCAGCTTTCAAAAACTAAGGCCTTGAAAAATCAGGTCCCATGGCCAAGATCTCTGGATTTGCTTAATCATTTCCTTTGCAAATTTATAACCTCTTTAACCATGAAGAGAGATGGTGAGAAAGGGGGAGGCGGGAGTTGAAAATGTTTTAAGTCAACCGCAAGACAGGACAGGAAACTCTGGGGGGGGGGGTGCATTTCTCTTTAATCCCTCTGTAGCAGAGAGGCCTAAGATAGCAGCTCTGGAAAACTGTTGATTGTCCCAGAAATGACCGTTCTGGGATATTGTTTTGCTGTTGATATTGACCCAGAGAAAAATGTGGCAGGCCTTCTTCATTCAGTGGCTTAATAGAGAATAGAAGAGCAGGGAGGGCTCTGAGACACCCCGGTCTGACCCTTTGCTTGACTCATGCAACAGACATTTATTGAGTGGCTGCCCTGTCCTCCAATGGATAGATAGGACTGAGACGGCCTCCCAAAGAGGTAAAATTAACTTCCTTGCTTTTTCAATGCCATTTGGAAAGTTAAAGAATCTACTGGGGGCTGTCTACTAGAAGAATCTAAAATAGGTGATCCAAAGCTGTCTTATTATTAAAATTCCTGAAAGACAAAAAGAAGTTTTTTTTGTTGTTGTTGTTGTTGTTGTTTTTTGCCCTTCCTTCTCACTTTCTGAGTTTTTCTTGGCTAATCAGAGTTACGTCCTTTTTTTAACCTTTAAGGTAAGTTCCTGTCTTTAGCAGTGGTTTTTATTTGAAGCCAGGGCCCAACCCACTTATGTTGATCCAGCAAATGAAATGGAATGGAACAGAATGGAATAGAAAAGAACACAGTAGAAATCTCATGGTGCATCACGGATAATATGGGCCACATTTATTAGTGGAAGATTTGTTTTGATTGCTAATGTATGTGTATAGACTCAAAATGTATTTCTTATTATGATTTGTCATAAGAAAAGTGTAAAAGCCTCTGATCTTTAATATAGTTCGGCGGCTAAAAGTGTGGGATCTAGAGTCTACTAGCATGAGTTTGAATGTCAGCCTGTGCCTCTGACTGGCTGTTTGATGGACAGGCTGATTATCCTCTCTGGACTCACTTACTTAAGGGAAATACAACACAATAGAGACATAAAATGAATATTGGATATCACAGTGTCTGAATTTCGGGGGTCATTTATCTTCAGAAAATGCCATCCTGCCCCCTGTGTCTTTCCTTTGGCCCAGCATTCTGCCGATTGTCTAGGGTCTACTCACCTTAGGCGAAGCTACTTCCTCTAGCCTAACCTCTCTCGATTTGATCTCCCTTCATTCCCTCTACCTCCACCTGCTGTCTCTAACATCATCTGTGGAAAACCAAAGCCATTTAATATGTAAAATTTCTCTTGGGAAAAATGGCTACACAGTTGCAGACTGTCTTACCTACTGAGTACAAATATAAAAGCTAGACAAAAACCTTGAAGGCATCCTAAAAGAGAGATACAGCGCTCCACTTCAATTGAAAGCAACAATAAGACTGACGGTTGACTTTTCAGCAGAACTAATGAAAGTCTTAGGACAAACTCCTTAAAAAAAAAAAAAAAAAAAGATAAGATGGAAAAGAAAAAGAAAAGAAGAAAGAAAAAAAATAAGGGGTTGAAAAAACCCCTGGCAACCTATAGTTCTACACCTAGTAAGAAATAGCTATCAAAATTGAAGATAACTATGTTTTCAGATAAACAAAAACTAAGTTACTGTATTACCAGCAGATCCTTACTAAAAGAAATACTAAAAGATACCCTTTAAGAAAAAAAAAAATGATCTCAGATGGAAGAATAAAAACGTAGGAAAGAATTAAAAGCAACAGAAGGATAAATGTGTCGGTAAATCTAAACAACTATCAACTGTGTTAAAAGATCATAATAATATCTTCTGGGATTTAAAATATATAGAGAAGGCCAGGTGTGGTGGCTCACACCTATAATTCCAGCACTTTGGGAGGCCAAAGTGGGTGGATCACTTCAGGTCAGGAGTTTGAGACCAGCCTAGCCAACACAGTGAAACCCCATCTCTACTAAAAATACAAAAATTAGCCGGGCATGGTGGCACAGTAGTAGTCCCAGCTACTCGGGAGGCTGAGGCAGGAGAATCACTTGAACCTAGGAGGCAGAGGTTGCAGCAAACCAAGACTGTGCCACCACACTCCAGCCTGAGCAACAGAGCAAGACTCCATCTCAAAAAGAAATAAAATATAAAATAAAATATGATATATGTAGAGTTAAAATACATGGTAGCAATAACATAAAAGATAGTCAAGAAAAAAAAAGGTACTAAACATGTTCCAAATTCTTTTATTGCCTGAGAGCTAGCAAATATACTAATTTTATTAGATCCTGATAAGTCAGGAATTATAATTGTAATCTATAAGATAATAAAAAATACAGAAAAAACAAGCTAATAGGAGAAGCATAATGATTGAAAAAAGAGCTCATTCATTTAAAAGGTGAGAAAGGAGAAAATGGGGAACTTGTAAAAGTTGAGACTAATTAAAACAATAATATATTAATATTCTGATAGTACTATACTAATAATTACTTTACGTGTAAATAGACTAAATATTCCAATTAAAAGACAGATAGATTGTATGCTAAATAAAAACAAAAACCCAAATATAATCTTCTTACAAGAGATAAGACCTAAATATAAGCACACAGAAAAGATTAAAATAAAGATAGAAACAGATATTTCATGAACATACTAATCGAAAGAAAGCTAGTGTAGCTATTCTAGTATCAGATGGAATACACTTTAAGAAAAGAGGCAACATAAAAGATAAAGAGGATTATCTTACAATAACGAAAAGAGTCAATCCTACCAGAAAA